ATCTTCATCATGAAAGAGCAAAAAGGATAAAATGATTGTTTCAGATTCAGAGAAAGCTGCACTTTCTTAAATGTTTGCTTGAGTTTTGATGATATGACATTACTGCCACGTGATTGTGTTGTTGGAACGTAGGCCCTGGGGCAACTGAATGATAACATCCTCTAAGCACGTCACGCAGAAATTAGCCATCGTTTAGGATCGATGGGTGCATTTCCATCAGCCACGAAGCAGAGCGCTTGGTGCAGCTTAGAAGCGTCGGTGTAAGCTGCTCCGCTAAAATTATTCTTTGAGTCTATTTTTATCAAAGTCAATGTCAGTTTAATTGTCACTTCTGCCACATGTACAGGACATACAGAGAAATGAAATTATGTTACTCTCGCTAGATAGAAAATAAACATTTAGTATAAAAACAGTAACCAAGTTCAGAGAGACTGTGGGGGAAAAGAGAGGAGAGTTGGGAGAGCCGGGAGGGAGTTTAGCTTCCTAACTGCCTGATGGATAAAGCTATCCTTCAGTCTGTTGGTCCTGGCCTTGAGACTCCGCAGTCTCCTCCCTGACGGCAGCAGCTCGAAGAGGCTTTGCATCGGGTGAGTGGGATCAGCCGCAATGCGAAGGGCCTTTTTTGTGAGGTGGGTGTTTTAAATGTCTGGTAGGGAGGGGAGAGAGACCCCGATGATCTTCTCTGCTGCTCTCACTATACGTTGGAGGGTTTTAAGGCAGGAAACTTTGCAGGCTCCGAATTTACGCTTTCAGAATGTGTCAAGCTCAGCAGGCCAGATCGGACCAGACAGGAAGTGAAAAACAAGTGAGCATTAGAAGCCATCAGGGATTGGCGAAGTCAGCTTTAACTCAAGGTGTTTAGGCATCACTTTGTTCTAAATAGTATTTGTGTATGGAGCATTTGGAGCCACAGCTGCACATCTGTAGGATCAGAGCGTAAGTGCACCAGTTAATGTGTAGTTCTGATCTTTCCTAGGACCACTATTGATGATAACTAGCCATTGCAAACCGAGACCACCCAACATTTTGCTTAGCAGAGCTGCACTTGTGCATCTCTTCTATAACAGCTGTTCTGACTCCTGACCTGCTGTCCATTACATTATATGCTGTCCCTTGGTGGTTCCACTGGGTTATTTAAGTGCAACAGGATGAAGTTTTATTCCAAAGCTTTAATTACATGACTGGACCAAAGATGTCCAAACTGACCACAATGTGTTGGTCGAAGGGCGTTTTCTGCCCAAAGCTCTGCTCTTCCACTTAACATCAGAAACCACACAAAATGACTAAGTGACCCATAGACGTCCACCAAAATATATAGTCAACCAAAACACAGCTGGAGCAACCAGAGGGGGCTGATTACAAGAGGTGCAATCAAAACCGTGACACTGACTTCAAACTAAACTGCCATTTGTTCGTTTCATTACAGCCGCGAAGCGCATGCACACACACACACACGCGCTTTCACAGGCATGCACACACACACAAACACTCATGTCACCAACAAAATCAAACTCTTATGACTGAATCCTCTTTGCTGGCTTTGAGCTGTGGGTGGTGCAGCCATTAGTGGTACAGTAGGAGGCGTGTACTGTACAATAACGCTTCCAGCAAACAGCTGGTTTTGATGATAAAGAGGCTGAAGCCTGAGAAAAAGGGAGAAGATTGCAAAAAGGGCGATGCTTACAAGAACTAAATGTCAACAGTGTCCAAGGAAAGCAGCGCTGCATCCATTTGATCCGGATCATTAGCTGACCGACCTTTTTCCTGTCATCAGAAGTCTCAGAGAGCGCCAAAAAAGGCCCAGAGGGAAAGAAATCAAACCCATCAAGATTATCATGACTCACCAGATGACCTTGTGAAGAGTGTGATGCTACGCTGCTACCACAAATACTGCTCATGGTATTCAAGGCACACAGGTTTAAGATTAGACAGAAGAAATGGCTGATCAAAGGTTCATGATTGGTACTTTATTATAAAAGGTGTAAATTTGATGGCAACCATAACAAGATCAGCTGTGTGCAAGTCATCCCATGTGTTAATACAGCTAATATAGGTCTGGCGGAGACTTCCAGTCTGGTGCCAGGTCTCACTGGCTCAGTCCACCATCCCAGACTCCAGCAACAGGACTCTGGACTCAGAAACCTCACGTCTGGTGATTGTGCTGAAATAAAGTATTAGAGACAACCTGCCTTTAAAAACAAGATTTAAATGCTGGCAGGGTCTTTAAATAGTGTAATCACTAGAGAGGGGTGAAGTACTCGCTCCTCATTGATCAGAGACGGACAGAAACAACAAGAATGGAAAATTGGGAATCTTAGGAATGATTTAACATCAGTGGAAAAAAGGGAACATCAGTGATGTTAAAACTGAAATATGATGGTCTTTTTGTGTTTATTAAAGCATGGAATGAGCTGGAAAATAAGCCAAGTCCTAAACTGTTGTCCAAATGGTTCCATTTAGGGAACGTCAGCTAGAGAAGAACGGTAACTGCTAGACAAAAGCATATTTTCCTTTATGATTTCTTTTATGGCTGAAATGAATGAATCATTGTGCCAGAAAGAGAGAGAGAGAGAGAGAGAGAGAGAGAGAGAGAGAGAGAGAGAGAGAGAGAGAGAGAGAGAGAGAGAGAGAGAGAGAGAGAGAGAGAAGAGAGAGAGAGAGAGAGAGAGAGAGAGAGAGAGAGAGAGAGAGAGAGAGAGAGAGAAAGAGAGAGAGAGAAGAGAGAGAGAGAGAGAGAGAGAGAGAGAGAGAGAGAGGAAGAGAGAGAGAGAGAGAGAGAGAGAGAGAGAGAGAGAGAGAGAGAAGAGAGAGAGAGAGAGAGAGAGAGAGAGAGAGAGATTTGGTTAAATTTTCTGTTCCTATAATCAGTGTCACAACGGGTGTAATGTTTATCAACTAAATCTCAAAAACTGGATTTATGCTTATTTAAATATGAATAATGTGCAATCAAAGAGCAGAACATCTGGCTCTAAAAGTAGATCAATCAGACCTTCTGAGTGAACAATTTTGGAGGAAAACTGCAGCCTTGTCTGGGTTTTATAAATCTGGGTTTCTGACATCAATAAGAAGTCAGAAATTACTTAAAATCCAACTTTGCATTTTAAAGATTAAAGATTTTCCTTGCCAGAGTCTAAAAACTATTGTTTTCAGTTTGTTGCCCTTCCTTAACAGAAACACCAAACAAAAATAACTGCAGTTACAGTGAAGTTGAGTCCAAGATTAGTGTCAAAATTATTTCTAGAAGACATTAATAATGTAAGAACGAAGTAAGAATGACATCCTGTGGTCAAATGTGGGTACTGCAGCCCATTTCCTAAACACATCAGTGACTTTCTCACTACCATTCTGTGAGTTTCATGGCTGTATCCAGTTGTGGATCAGCACCAGAAGGCTGTAGATGGCGAGTAAAAGTGAGTCACACACTAAGTTGATAAGTAGACATATTTTACTGTAATACTGAGTTGTTAGTGATTGAAAAAGTAGCTTGAGACTTTTTAGAGCCGACTGTTTTCTACTAATTCACCGTTAGCATTGTTAGCTCAGCGTTAGCCTCTAGCCTTCTTTACCCAATATTACTGAATATTAAAAGGATGCCGTGGCTGTTTAGGGCTCTAAGAAATAACCTCTGCATCGCTGCTGTTACTGGCTTAAGCTAGTTACAAACTCTGCTGCGTTTTGCTGACCAGTGTCGGACTTGGCAACCCCACAAACTCACACATTGTAAACAAAGCCCTCTTTGGCTATCTGAAAAGAGAACAACCAGCCGGGTGAGAAAGAAATCTGCTTCAGTGTATCCTTTCATCCAACATGGTTGACAGGCTGTTTTGTGGTTATGTCAAGGTAAGATTGTTACAAATTATCCATTTTCTCTTCCACTTATCCGGAGTCGGGTCGTGGGGGCAGCAGCCTAAGCAGAGAGGCTCAGACTTCCCTCTCCCCATCCACTTGGGCCAGCTCCTCCGGGGGAATCCCTAGGAGTTTCCTGGCCAGCCAAGAGACATAGTCACTCCAGCGTGTCCTGGGTCTTTCTTTGGGTCTCCTCACGGTTGGACGTGTATGGAAAATATCCCCAGGGGGGCGTCCAGGAGACATCCTGACCAGATGCCCAAGCCTCCTCATCTTGCTCCTTTTGATGTGGAGGAGCAGCGGGTCTGCTCCAAGCCCCTCCCAGATGACTGAACTCCTCACCCTGTCTCTAATGGGCCATTCCCATCTGTACCGGGTCGGCCCGGGCCGGGTAGCGTAGGTTGTTTACATATCTGGGTGGCCTGGTATTTTTCCGGGCCAACCAAGGCTCATTCTCAGCCCTCTTCTCGAGGGGGTCTGCTTCAGGCCGACCAGGGCCAACACACCCACTGCTGACAGCAAATTCACACCTTCCATTAGAGCAAGCCTCTGATTGGTGGGTAGAATCAGCCCATATGGGCTTAAGGCAAGGATGTGTGGAATCAACCGGGCCAGGCTGGGGCTGACTAGGGCTACCCGGCCCGGGCCGACCCGGTACAGATGGGAATGGCCCTTAAGGGAGTGCCCAGACAAAACTCATGTTGGCCGCTTGTATCTACAATCTCGTTATTTTGGTCACAACCCAAAGATCGTGACCATAAGTGAGGTTTAGAACATAGATCGACCGGTAAGCTCTCTCTTCACCACAAGAGACCGGTACAACGCCCGCATCACTGCAGATGCAGCACCAATCCGCCTATCGATCTACCAATCCATATTTCCAATATTCATGAACAAGACCCCAAAATACTAAAGTTCCTCCTCTTTCAAACTGTTCCTTTAAAAAACTGCAAAAACTGGTTTGTTAATAACAAGTATAATTTCATTGTCTGTGCTGTGTCTTCTGTGTGTGCATGTGCAGTCAACATGTCTTAGAAGAGAAGACAGACAAGGAATTGTGTGTCTTATTATTCCCCCTACAATAAGCTGCAAAGACAATACCACCACATTATGCAGTCATTGACCCAGGTTTAAATCTCCTTTTGGAAGCTTACCTGAAATACGCTCATGTTTTTGAAAAAACTTTGCAGAGAGATCAATTCTTCATCAGAAACAAGAAGGTGGATTTTAGAGTCAATCTCCATCAGTTGCTCCAGAACCAAGGGCTCGGGGGTGTAACCTTGGCCTGTCAGAGCTGATGCAGTCCACACAGCCTGGAAAAAAAGCATCAGTAGACTAAGTCATGGCCCACTGGGTATACGCCTACTTTACTCTCTGGCAAGATAAACACAAGACTGATAAACTTTATCCAGCCAACCCTTATTTAGCAATAATCTGACCGTGATGTCTGACTCAGGGAAGAGGCACAGTCTGACTTTTGCTTTTGGTATTCACTTCTGAATGAGTCCAGAGTCAGGTTTTGACAAATGCCTCTTCCTCTTCAGTAACTGTATGCCCCATTGATGCTCCCATTAAATCCCATGGAAAACTGAGGGTGAGGTCATCACTGCAAAGTGGTGAGATAAGATCGACAAATCCCACCATTCCAAATCAGATCGTAATTCCACAAAGCACGCAGCTGTCTCCTCTGGATGCTAGCAAGACAAGAGCTGGACACAAAAACTGGCAGAGGGAAGCAGCAAACATAGGAGGCCTATTAATGAGGTGGATTTTAAAATAAATCCACAATCTTAAAGACTTTCACTTTTTATGAGACTCATTTGGGTTGTTCTTTCAGCCACTGCCAGCCTAGAAATCTAGACAAACCGCAGCAAAAGATTTTGCTCTGCAAGTTGGTTCAGCCGCGCTCTACTGAAGCCTCAGTAGGTCAACTATGGCTCAAACAGTTAGGTCTGGCCAATCACAGCGCTCGATGTAGAAAACCATACATGGGCTTAAGATGGCATCTTCTTCTTAGACGGTTGCTGGAGAGATGATTATGCTACTTTGTTCATCGCTCTGATTGGTCCTGGCATCGTTTAATTGTGTACAGTTTGTAAGTCTATCATAGACTCCGCCCATGACTGAGCTCTGTCCATGGGTCATATGAAGGAAGGCTTACCAGGCTAATGATTAGCCAAAATTTGTCTAACTTGCCAAATTTTATGACAAAAGTAGGATAGATACACACATTTCAGTCCATCGAACAAATAAATAGTCTGGAAATCATTTTATTATACCCTTAATAACGATCAAATAACCTTCGTTTAAAAAGATAAAATTGCCAATTTTCTTTCTAAACTTCCCTTTTCTTCTCACGAGATCCTCTGACGTTTTATGTGCAGAATGAAAGTTTTTGCTACTGTTTGGGAGCCATAAATCCTCCTGCGGTCACTGTTTCTAATAAATTGGACCTCTGGTTGCCATAACTACACAAAACTGTGGATGTTGCTTAAACAAGAGTCAGTAACATTTAAAACACAGAGCTTCTGAGGTAAACAGCAGCTTTTGATAGATGAGTACCAAGGGACTGTGCCAAGAACTGAGTCAAGTCCTAAGAACTGAAGACGCCTCCCTGCCAAAGTCCTGGTGACATAAATAATGTGCTCACTCCGTTTCGACCGTTCGTAACAGAATGGCTCGCAATAACAGGAAATCTTCCTCTGGCCCAACATAATAAAATAGAAATAAAATATCTGCATTTTTAGTATCCGGCACCATATTCGCATCATTATTGTTGTTTAAATTCCAGACAAACATCATAAATCGAGCAATAAGACATTTACAAACCCCTGGCAGGCAGTGTTACCAATGCTGAGCTGCGTGGGTCAAGTTAAATGGAACCGCATGTAAAAGGTAAGTACGTGTGCAAATTAAATGTGAAAAGAAAAGCATGCAATGTTGGAACGGTGAGTTCAGAGCGAAGACTGGATTATTCCAGGTGGCAAAGAGGAGTTGGATGAATCCTTGAAGGGAAACAAAAGATCATTCTGTCCTAGCTTTCAACGCAATCGGCGCACCCTTAGTGCAAGGGCAGCTGTGGCTAATTGCATGACAACATGACAAATGGTCCCTCCCGGATTTAGCTGAAAAACAGGAGATCGGTGTGAAAACCAGATTATAAAATTAATCCCAAACATGCATAGCAAGTGAAACACATGTGGCATTTTGACATCTGAAGAGGAGTCAGAATCTTCAAAACATAAATATCGAACCAAAACCACTTCAGTTAGGAAGGGGTCTGCAATCATTTGATAATAGAAAAAAAAACAATGTATAGATTCAATTTGAAATCTGCAAAGCATTGAGTTTTTGGTATTAAATCAAGATGCAATCCCATGTACACTGGTGCTACCCCTCAAAACCTCTATGCATGAGACTTTAGTAATAAAGAATATAATAAAAAGAGACTCAGGCAGCTGCAAATGTCTGTTATACCCTGATATCAGCCCACCTCACTGTCTGTGCCTTTGGCACTGTCCTCTTCTTCTTCATCTAATTCACAGAGGAGCAGAGCCAGACGTTGTTTTTCACTAGGAGTCAAAAGCACTTGGCCCACCTCACTGCTTACTAGCTGTGGTGTTACACAATAATGAAAAGAGACAGAAAATCATTATTAACATGAAGTTTATATCTTTTTTTTTAGCCTACTGAGGTTTTATAGCCTAAAATAAGATCACATTTGTCCTGATTGTGTGATGAAACTGTGCATAACTCACCTCAATGTTCCTCTTGATGAAGTCTGTCTGTTTATTGTTGCCTTTGAAACTTTTAGTGATTTGAAATTGTTTATCCTCAACATCTTCATCACTTCCTCTATGCAATGTAGTCGGGCCGTCTGACCTCTGTTCACCTGCCAAACATAAGGCACAGAGTACACATAAATAAGTACTGAAATGTACATTAACATGGTAAAAACAGCATCACTTCAACAAAAATACACAAGTGCAAAACTAATCCCAATCCTGGACTTTTAAGACTTAAAACTGTTAAGATTTAGTTTTAATTGCTTTGAGAAATCAGTGGCTTATAAACCTAAAAGATGTTGTTACATAGCCCCATAAAGACCAGATTTCCTCATCTCTGCAGCTGTTAGAAGCTTCCTGAGCTTATGGCGCCATCAAGAGAAGAATTAAGGTTACACAAATAACATTTTACATGTTGTGGTGTAAAATCTCACTTTGCTTACTGTCTTGTTTGTCTGCATCCTGCTGCCAGTCAGGAACCTGAGTTTCAAACAATAAGACAAAGTTCTCCTCTTCAGCAGCACCTTTGACATAACAAAAACATATTTACACATCTAGACTCATATTCTCCATTTACAAAGTTGTCTACACTTACCCATAGATGCTTCTAAAGCCAAGAACCGCTCTGTGTTTAAAGCTTCCAGTGCACATTCTGAGTGCTTTTGTGTTTCTTTCTGCAACAGGAAAAAAATGCACATTATAGCACCACAACATAAAAGGATGTTTAATCAGGAATTAACAGGAGATCATTTAGTACCAGGAATTTTAGCCAGAGTTTTGCTTGAAGCGCTTTCCTCTGCTGACGGATTTGCTTTAACTTGTAGATTTCTGCAGACAGCACTTCATCAAGTCGCCTCATTTCATCATAAGCTTTCTGCAGCTCTGAATCCTCATCCTCTGTAACCTCAGTGGGAGATGGATCTAGACACACACACACAAAAAAAGATTTTATTTGTTTCCACATAAATAAACTTAAATACTAATGAACCCTCACCTTTGTCAGAATCTTTAGATGAGGACATTGTTGATTTTTGGGAATAGATGTGCTTCTACAAAAAAAATTATTCAAATATTCAAGTTACTTAAAAATCTAAATTCATACAACAAAACCATGTATTTACCTTGTTATCAGCAGGACCGTTGGTCAAAACACCAAGTTCAAATGGTGTGGTAGGAAGAACTCTGGACACACGGCTCATTTTCTCACTAGATGAAGGTCGAGAAATGTCATCCAAACTACCTCTAATAATTTCCATAACTTAATTTCTCATTAAATCTATAACAAACAGATATTTGTCTATATAGCTGCAAGAAATACCCTGAGCAGCAAACGTTTGCAAAGCGACTTTTCAGCTGACTTTCCTTTTTTAAGGTGTTGTGCTGCAAAACGTACCTCTGGCATGACGCACCCATGCATGTACTTCCTTTACAGTCATTGACATTTCCTCTGCAGCATTTAAATGTTGACACACTCAGGCTAATATTAACTTCTGGCAAAAACAATTGTGTCTTCAAACAACACATTTGGGGACAAACGTTGACTGGTGTAATATCTCTTCTAGTCAGAAAAGACCCTAAAGCTTAAACCACTCTGAAACTGTCATAATAAAATAATTTAATTTAAATTATTTCAGAGATTTAAAAACAATTTTTGTTTTTATTTAACTGTTTATTTGTGAAGCAAAAACAAATTATTGAAATGAGCTTCCGCGGGGTGCTTTTCAATGCTGCTGGGGTGTTATTTTTTCGACACAACACCAGTAAATGTTTGGTAACTACGGACGCAGACTCCCGGATGTTGTAACTATGGACGTTAGCACCGTTGGACATGATACGCCACAGCTGGAGCAGACAGTCAGCGTATCCAGTGGCTGGGGGAGGTAGCCAGTGGTTAGCTTAGGGGCTAATTACATCATTCAGATATATTATTGTGTTCAGCGTTACTGTCTCGGCATTGCTGAGGGAACATTAATAAATGTGTACGCCCTGAGGTTGTGACGGTGGCGGTTCCGAGGCCGTGTTTTTGTGCGGTAGGTGACGAAACATTTAAACGTCAAGTTAGCAAGCTACGGATGATATTATTGATTATCTGATATTGTTGTTAGCTCCTCGTAGCAATCCCAGTCAACCTTAAAATGCTCGTTCTGGTTTTTTAAGCGATGTAATTGCTAGCTTAGATGCTAGCCGCTTAGCATCACCGTACTGTACAAGGTGTATTGTGAGGCATTTCTTTTGTTTGGGCGGCCTTTTTCTTTTTAAGGTAAAACGGATCCGCTGAAATATTCAACCTCTCTCTGTAGATACAAATAGTGAGACTGTGATATTTACTTTACACGGCCGTTGCTTAACTACGGAAGATGAACGTGTTAAAGGGGAGAGACATTACTAATATTTCTGCTTCTGTTACTGATTCGTGCTGATCAGTACTGGTGGCACTGGGGCGCTGTAATCACACCCATTTCACTGGCTGCAGTTCAAGCACTGCAGGTGTCAGTAGTAACGAGTCATTGTGTTGAACAGCTTTCATACCTTTTGTAATTGTTGCATCATTGTTGCTCTACTTCTCAGGTTGGGCTGAATCTGAAGGAGATGATGTACAATGGAGTGTTAGAGTTTATTTCCAGTCCTAGTTGGTCACACACATCAACCGTTAAACAGCCCATCTTGTTGCTGCTGGTTCTGACTCTAGCGTCCACCGGGCAAGGTTCAGGTAAATGATGGAGCACACGCGTCTATCTGACTCGGATTAATCATCTGCTCAATCTGTGAGTTTTAGTTTCCAGAATCAGCTTGGGATGGTTGGATCTGTGGGTTCATTTTAGCTCTCCATTTCTGGTTATGTTAGATGTGTTTAGGTCTGAATAAAGACAGGACATCTCCATCTTTAGTACTTTAAAGAGTCAGTGTGTAGTTTTTACCATTAATCTCCGAAAACATCGTTAGGAATGTTGTTGAAAATTAATTAAATGATAACAAGATGTTAAAAAATGTTGTGGCTTTGTAACATTTAACCATAAAAATCAGGTCTAAAATACATGGGAGCGGGCCGAAGTCTCTGGGCAACGCCATATTAGACGCAGTGTTTCTTTCTACGTGAGCCCGTGAGGTCAAAATGCATTTCCTGATTGGTAACAAAACTTTCACCATTCATAAACGTTGTTTTACACATTTACCTCTTCACTCGTTGCCAGTGATGAAAGGGAGTCTGATGTGCTTGTCATTTTGTTGGAGGTTGAATGATCTGACGAAGCACTATTTCGAAAATTGCGCTCCCAGGGATTTTTGACCCTAATGGCTATCTGTACGTTTCCGGAACTGCGCTGCTCTGGGTGGCTGCATGTTGGAGTAGCTCTGTTGACCATATGTAAGTTTAGCCTTTTTTGGGGCATTTTTTCTTCTAGTTTCTCAAGAAAAACTGTATTTTTTTGGACACTTTACTTTTCTGTTTCTGGTGCTGTGAAGCTGGGAGGATTTTTACTGCTATTTTATAGCTTTTTTCACTTTTTGAGCATTTGTTATGATGCGTAACCATGGCAACAAGCCGGTTTACAATCGGGAGCGGCTGATTAACATTGGAAAGGCTGAAATAATACCTCAACTGAAGCCACAAATCCCAAATGAGCTAAAACGCCAGAAGCGTGGGTGCAGAGCGGGAGCAAAACGGAGACAGAGAAAGAGGAAATTCAAACCATCTCTTCCATCGATCATAATGGGCAATGTGAGATCACTGGCCAACAAGATGGAGGAACTCCAAGCCCTTTCAAGGACTCAGCCAGAGTTTCGGCAGTTTCGGAACCACTGGAGGAGATAATAACTAGCACTGATAACTAGCACCTTGCCTGCACCCGTCCCCCCTCTCTACTGTCCACTCCTTGTTCCCTACTCTCCATGACTGATGTCAATGTTGTTGTTGTTATTGTTGTTGTTAGCCTCAAGGGCAATATGCAGATTATCGCTTGTAAGTCGCTTTGGACAAAAGCGTCTGCTAAATACATAAACATAAACATAACATAAACATTGCTTAATACAATTTAATACAATTCACTAATTGTCCAATGAAAATGTAATAATACAGTTATTCATTTTGGATGAAAAGTTATGGATTTGCAGTGAAATGCGAGCAATATTTTATACACTTTATTGCTTTTGTTATGTTGGCTGTGTTAATATTTATTACATTAGAATGTTCAGCTAATATCAGTACTTGTCCTACTGTATACATTATTGTTGTATTGTCGTAACTAAAATGTAGTATGTTGTGGTAATATGTTGTGAACCTGTTGTGAGTCTTTTAGTGTAATGTAGTGTTGTCATACATCTTTTTTTTTACTCTGGGTATCTTTGTATGTCTCCACAGGATGTGTGAGGCCATATATGGTCCAGAACAGCTGGGTAAATCTCACAGACACCAACAGGGGCTTGTTTCCCGTGGGCACAGTTCTGCAGTACAACTGTGACCCGGGTTACCTGCCAAATGGACCCAGCATCCTCATCTGCACCACAATTGGAATGTGGTCCTCTGAACCTCCTCAGTGCATACGCAGTGGTGGTAAGATAGTTTCCACCATTTTATTTTTACCATATATAAAGTTTCATAAACGTCACTTGTTGTGCTTCCTCGTCAGCATGTCTACCCCTCTCCAAACCTGAGAATGGGGGCTACACCTGCCATCCATCCCCATGTCGACTCTTTTCCCACGGCACCATAATCGAGTTCATCTGTAATGAGGGCTTTGCTCTCAGTGGAGACTATCCCTACCTGACGTGTCAGGATGGACAATGGGATGGACCCATGGAGATCAGTTGTGTAAGCAAAGGTCAGTATATAATGTAAACTGTGTGATACTCTTACCAAATGTGCATCCTTTCTCCAAAATAAGGTCAGTAAACATTGAATTAGCTAAACAGAAGGCTAATATTTTTGTAATTTTTGAATTCTACGCCTTCCAGTTTAAGATTTTTTACACTTGTCTGTTTTAAGGTTGCATACGGCCCTCTGTGGTGCAGCATGGCTCAACTAATCTGACAGACACAAACACCAGCCTGTTTCCAGTTGGCACAGTGCTCCAGTACAGCTGTGACCCAGGCTACCTGCTGGTTGGTCGCAGCATCCTCACCTGCACGACTATCGGGGACTGGTCCTCTAATCTTCCCCGCTGCATACGCAGTGATGGTAAAAACAAATCGGGATATCATGTTTAGGACTCGGAAATAGCCTCATATTACCTGAGGTGAATGACATAAACTGCTATTCTTTGTGCATAAATTGATCAACAGTTTGTCAGCCTCCCTATCAGCCGGAAAATGGAGGCTACACGTGCCACCCCTCCCCATGCAGACGATTTTCTCAAGGCACTGTGGTGCAGTATTTCTGTGATGAAGGTTACGTTCTGAAAGGAGACAACAAGTTCCGAACCTGTCACTATGGGAAATGGGACAACCTGTCGCCAATCAGCTGCCTTATCAAACAAGGTAGTATCGATCAGTCCTAACTGAAGCTTTTGTTTGTTAGTTCTTGTCATAAATCCTATTTTCTCTCTTGTTCCATTTATTAGGGTGTGTAAGACCTTTGATGGTGGAGCACGGCTCTAGTAACCTGACAGACATCAACAACAGCTTGTTCCCCATCAGTACAGTTCTACAGTACAGCTGTGATCCTGGTTACCTGCTGGAGGGACCCAGTTTTCTTACCTGTGCCACACCTGGACACTGGTCCTCTGAGCCTCCCCGCTGTATACGGAGTGATGGTAAAAACACATTGTTTCCCTTTTTAAAAAGTGGTTAGAGTTAGTTTTTGTCTAGTCTTTTTTGTGAGTTTTATCATCAATTTTCCTGTTTTCCTGGGAACATATTGTGCAAAACTCCTATTTTTCATCTTTGTGTGCTGTCATGTGCCTCTATAAACACTCCAAATGTGAAAAAAAACATCCATCCATTTTCTCTCAGTTTGGGTTTAGGAATTTTGTGCCTAAAATTAGCCGTTTCAAAAAGTCCCCGTCTGTGATGTCACAAGCGGGGAAATTAGAATAGAAACCCCTCTCGCGTTCAAGAGAGAAGCTGCGGCTCTGCTCCGTGCCCATCTCGCGCATTACCCCCAAATTCCACTACCTCCGCTCCGCTCCGGCACGAACTCCGGAGCAAAAATAGGATCAATTCTATTTTTGACGGACGCCGGAGCACCTCCGCAGTAAATGGACAGGAATCACAACCGCCCAACAGGAAAGGGAGCAAGCACAACTTCCGTTTTTCACAATAAATCGATAAAAGGCATTTTTTGTTTCATATGCACAGGTTTAACAACCTTTAACAACTATCAATGGCAGCTGAACTTTAAATGCACAAAAGTAAGCCATAAATACAGTTTCCACTATCAAAGTAGTCACACTTTGTTGATCCAAACACTGCTGATCTCTCAACACAAATGATGGGCAGATTAAACAGTTCATATCGATGCTTCTCCCACACAACGGGTGTTTGGATCTAACTTCCGTGTTTATTGCTCGGACTGTATTGCAAGATCTCAAAAATCCCGCGCATGCTTGTTTGCGCACCTCAGGTCTCCGCACCGGAGCGGAGCCGTTGTAGAGCGGGTACCAGTAAAAATTGAGTTCGGAAGCGAGTGGCTGCGGAAGGCGGGGGCGGACCGGAGCGGAGCGGAGGTAGTGGAATTTGGGGGTTAGAGCTTCTCGGCTTATAGCAGCCTATCAAGGGATGGGGGGTGTGGCTATCTCTAGCTTGTTTTCTTAAAGTGACAGAGTCCTGAAACGGTTCATTCTGGAAGGTACTGAAATTGCTTTATGTGAGAGGGATTCTGAGCAAAGAACTTCATAAACATGTTTTGTATCGACCATAGAACTATTGTAACTGAAGAAAAAATTCACATTTTGTCTCCTTTATTCATATTTTTTCTTTTCGCTCCTCCAGTATGCCAGACCCCATATCAGCCCGAGAATGGAGGTTACACATGCCACCCTTACCCATGCCGTAGTCTTTCTCATGGAATGGTGATCGAGTACTTCTGTGATGAAGGCTATATTCTGAAGGGAGACTATAAGTACCTCACCTGTCAGTATGGAGAGTGGGACAGCCAGGTGAAGCTGAGCTGCGTCATGGAGCAAGGTAGATTAGGCGACATGTTTCAGCTAATAAAATAATTTCTTGGTTGTGTGTGAGTAAATATGGTTTTTTTATGTGTTGAAGATCGGAATCCCGCTTTGCCTTTAGGGATGCCAGCTCTGTCCCTAGTTGCTTCCACCGCAAGCTCAGTGGCTTTCATCCTGCTTCTGGTGGTTGTGTTTGTGCTTCTGCAGCCTAAACTCAAGTCCTTCCATCGGTGAGTCTCGTCTGTAGTTTATCATCTGAGGAAAACCAAGTCAAAACATTCAAATTTACCTCTCACCCTCCTCCCTTAGACGGGATTACTGTCTGTCCGGGCAGCCCGTGACGATCATGGTGGAAGGTGTCCAGGTGACCTTGCCTTCCTACGAGGAGGCCGTGAGCAGCAGCGGAGCCTCAACACTTAGCTCCGAGTCTCGAGTCCAGATAGTCCTGTCTGAGGGTCAGCATGCCACAACAGCGGAAGCTGGCCCCACCAGGCCCTCCTCCCTCAAACAGCAGCAGTCGGAGATGGCTGTGGTCCACGCTGGGTTGCCGTCCTCTTCCTTTTCACCTTCTGCTTGGGAGCACGGAGGCGCCGCAGGAGGCATGTCCTCACATCGACGGCCTTCTGCAGCCAGCGACCAACAAAGCCTGTTGTTAGACTCTGAGATGGACTACTCAGATGGTAATTAGTTTTATTTTCATTGCCTCTCCAATTTAAAGCTTTTATTGTGTTATAACCTAACACTTTGTGTGCCCCACACAGATATGCCGCTACTGAAGGAGGCCTGAAACACCCGTTAATGACCTGTGCTGGTTAGCAGGAGTTGAGCTGTGTTTGACTCTGAACATCCCAAAGGGACTTCCACGTGCATACAAGCTTACACGTTTAAATAAAGCTGTGTCTGATAGCTGAAACTGGGTTCGTAAATGTGGAACACAAAAGTGAAATGGCATGTTTGATAGAAGTTTTTTTTTTTTAAATCAAAAAGCTTTGTGTGTATTGTAATTGAGTAAAGCTGCAAGCTCATCTAGCGAAATTAAAATGTATTCATATTTGCAGAGAAGCATGGAGGACATCAGACCGCGTTATTGATTAAGTAGTGAAAGTTTACGATGTTTTTAAAGGAGTTTTGTGATTCAAAGTTGTCAAGTAGAGCTGACTCGCACCGTTCCACCTCACTCTGTAACATAGATCTGCTTGTCCACCTTAGAGACCCTGAGCTCAGCATATCTTCATGTTTCCCATTGTTTCTTCCTCTTTACATCCATACCCTTCCCCTTAAAGGCCTTAGTGTTCCACTTCTATGCACAGGTATCTATATCATGTGAATCAAGTCATTTTGAAACTGAATGTCAGTTAACTGCCTCTACTGCTTAGTGAAACGTTGTGTGGCGTTGTCGGACATATCCCTTGTGCAGCAGACGATGCTCTTGTGTTTATTTATTGAGGCTGCCGGGGAGGAGACATGTTTGTAATTTATTTGTACAGAGAAAGCTGTTGATCAGCCGTGGCTCGTGACGCCTCCGCAGCTAGTGGAGATGACTCGGAGTAGCTTTTGTGATTTCATTTCCAATCCTGCTGCAGGCATGTGGTGTGTGACTAACTGTTCGGGAAGAACCAACCGTCGCACATAAATAGTGTACAGCATTGTGAGTGTTCACTTTCCTCCACTGATGATCTGTTTGTTTTGTTAAGGTGGTATGTTAATATATGTAAAAAGGTTTAAGTTATGTTTTTTCTGTATATACGTTGATTTGATTAAATATTATTTGGTGTGTTGAAGTGGCTTTTTTCCAATTTTCTTCCCTAAAATAGACTCCAATTGATAACTGATAAAGTAATCAGTAATAAGTAGTGATGTGTGTTTCGACTGTGTCACGTAATCTAAGATTTATCTTGTAAAAATTCTTAATGGAAATGACAACAAATCAGACATCGCAGAATCTCCCCCAGTGTAGCTGCTACTTACCACCTGACCAGATTTATAGTCATTTTTTCACTGTTTAGTGCTCCTTTTGTCCTGGAAGAAGGATTTGAAGCTCACTAATCTAATCTCCACTTCTCTGTTTCTGATTTGATGACATCAGTTTGGTGAGAAACATTTGTAGTCCTGAATGTCTTTTCGCACAATACCAAAAGTAACTTTTGCCACCTGTGGAAAAATAAGTGTTTTCATGGCTTTAAAATGTGTCTTTAAATTCCATGGACATCATAAGTGATATTCCTGGCACATTTCAAAAGGTATCAGAAAAAAAACATTTATCCTATCAGAGGCACGTCTTAGACTTTACATTGACTTCAATTTCTCTTTTTCTGTAAACAGGGCTGTCTCAGAAATGCCTATCTGCAATTTTTATTAGCCTTAGAGTCAATACAATAAGTAGCAATATTCCCCTTATAATTTTATTAGCAACTAGCTAACAGCATGACAAACATATCACACACTCTCTGGTGGCTAAAGCACTCTGAAATAGAATCCTGGCACCCAAAAATGTTATGATTTATTTATTTTTATTATCTATGTATGTTTTTGCTGTTTGTGGTCATTTTTAAGTAGCCGGTAACCAAACTGCAGTTTGTTTGTTCTTTGTCTAAATAGATTTTTATGAGACTTAAAAACATTAGCTCTATTTAACTTTATTATTATTATTATTATTACTTTCAAACACCATGTCTCGTTAGCCAGGCCTGCCAGACTCCTCTGTCTATTCTACACAGAAGACACACTGGCATGGCTGGCCAGGCTAACGGGGAGTTAGCGCCCTCCGCTGGTAGCAAATAAAATAACACGCCGGTGAACAGCATTTAGATAAGGGAAGACGGGAGCTGCTGTCCTCTAGTGTTTAAAATCTAGTACTGCATGTTAAAGAGCAAGTCAACCCCTACCAGATTCTAACTCCACTCCCTCTTCATGTTTGAAAAATGCAATAAATGCTGTTGCCTGGCAGACCGAGAGGGCGGAGCTGCTAACAAATACACACACACACAGGCTCACGACAGCATTGTGACATCATAATGTACCAGTTTACATCACAGCATACCTCTTAGCCAATAGCGGTGGCAGATTTAATTTAGAATACAGTGCAGAGTTTTTACCTGACAACGGCACAACACTGCCAGTTTTAGGCAGAATATTTAAATTTGAACTAAGATGCACTGAAGTGCCAAATTATTGACGACACGTGTCTGCAGCACGATTAGACACTCGTTTATTTAGTTCATCAGCAAAAAAAAGTTTGTTTGGGGATGACTTGCTCTTTAAGTCTTTTTAGCCATTTAGAAAAGAATATTCAGCCTGTTTATCTTAATAAAGCTTAAAGAAATTAAACCTCTGTTTTGTAGCTAGCTGCTAATAGCTCCTGCTGTAACTCATAATTAAAGTTTAGTTAAAAACAGAAAAATAAAACACATTTGTAGAGTTTTAATAGTGATTTGTACAAGGGAAAACATTCTGGCTTATTATATTTAGATTACCTATGCTGTTAACACTCATTTAAAATCAGCATTACTTTTCAGTGGCATTGTTTATTTTGAAGGAATCTACAGGTCAGGAAGTGTTGTTGCGTTTTGTATTGAACAGCTTTATGAATGCCGTTGTTGTAAAAAATCCAGAGGACTGTGTTTCCATCCAGCTAGCCTAAATAAAACACATAAATTCCTCATTGATAGAGGTTACGGCCATTTTTCAAACCAAATGTCAGATTACGAGTAACAAAATTAAACATTTATAAGTTTTAAAACCAGTAACCAAATTGAATTGTGGTTCTTTTTTTTTTACCTGTTTGTTCTTTGTCTTGTACAAGACTTACTTAGAAACACTTGCTCTATATAATTTTTCAAACTTGCCTTGAAAAAATGGGGAATTTGCGCTCTCCGCTGGCCAAAAACAGAACAACACTCTGATTTCCAACAGCATAGGGAAGATGGGAGTTGCTGCCCTCCAGTGTCTGAAATCAGATTCTGCACCGCACTGCTTTTTTATTTACCCATAGAAGAGAATATTTAGCCTCTTTATCTTAATAAAGCTTTAAAAAATAAACAAATCACTGTTTAGTTGCTAGCTGCTAATAGCTCCAGCTGTAACTTGATCAACTTTAGTTGAACCCAGAAAAATCAAATAGATTTGTTGAGTTTTAATCGTTACGTTTGTATAAGTGAAAACATTCTGGCTTTCACATTATTGAGATTAACCCTGACTTATCCTAAATCTGTGTAAACATTCATTAGAATTTGGTTTCATGTTTACGGTGCTAAAGTCAAATGAAATAAGACAATTTCTACGTATTTTGGTGAGAAGCATTTATTTTGACTACCAGAGAATTTCTCGCTGCTTTTCCCTTGTCGAGATAAAAATAGAACGCTAAGACTGGGAAATTTCACAGTCAAAGAGCATCTCCAGCATTCGATCAGTTTTTAGTTTCCTCGTGATTTTTTTTTTTTAGAACTCAAATATTAAGGAAGCATGAAAATCGCCCAGAGACATAAAAGAAATATCACCTCTGAATAGGGGTTTTACGAACTAGTCGACTAGACGACTAGTCGACTTCACGGCTCTGTAGTGACTTTTTATGCCTGTCATCGACTAGTCGCTGTCACGTGATAATGACTGACAAGATGCAGTCCTCGGAAAAGGCAAAGCTCTGATCGTTGACGTGCGCTCCAGACATTGCGTCCTGAGCACCGCCAAATCAGGTGTCACCACCTCAAAAACAAATTAAACACGCGATCGTTCATGTCGGCTCATTTCCTTTCATGTTTTCTGTCTGTTATTTGTGCCTGATGCATTTCGCTGCTGTGGAGCGATGCGCATCACCTGTTGTCCTCCGGTGACTCACCCCCAAGATTCCACTATCTCCGCTCCGCTCCGGCATGAACTTTGCAGCAAAAACGGTCCCGTTGTAGTCGGCTGGCGAGCAGCGGCACTCCGCTGTTTTTGCGGTCAGTAGATCTTTTTAGAACTGCAGTTCAAAGGTAACTCATAAGGTGAATATATATGAACGCAGGTAGCAGTTTCTCTTTAGGATTGAGAGGAGATGCAGGAAGATAATAAACAGACAGGACAGAAAAATAGTCAAATAAAAACAAGTTAGTTTTTGTACCTGGTGGTTGCAACAAACAGACACCATTGAAGGTAATCAGAAGTGAGGAACAGAAAATGAAATAATTATTTTAATGTTTAGAGCAGCAGGAAAGGCTGCAGGCCATCAGTGAGTTTGCGGCTGCTGCGCAGGGGGAGGGGGGAGAGGACTGAAGTAGGATGCAGAAACTACCGTTATTAAAAGAGATGTGTTAACTTAGAAAATGTGGGCGCAATTTTAATTGTCAAAAACTCCAGCGAACCTACCGACCGCCCCCCCCCCCCCTTCCCGCTTCCGGCGTATGACGTCATCAACGACTAGTCGAAGTCGACTCGACTTTCATTACTTGACTGTCGACTTTAAAAAAAATAAAGTCGTGCAGGCCCTACCTCTGAACCGTTGTTAGAAAGACTGATAACATGGGCACTTCTGAAACAGCCTATCTGGGTGTTATTTTAGGTTGGAAAACATTATTTAGCTAATTAAAATAAACATGATCAGAAACTATAAACTTACAAGATGAATTCATGACCTTCATATGCAGTCGTCAAAAGGACTGCTCAAGGCTGTTCTTGAGTTACGGTGGAATATAGTTTTTCTACAGATGTCTGCTTTAACACAACTTTTATAAGATTCTTGAGTCTAAAAGACGCCAATTAAACAATCCTTTGTGAATTTCTGTTTATAGTTTAAGCAAAATTGGACAAAAGCAAACCCCAGCACTACATTAGATATGCTGCATGCAAACAAAACATAAACAATCTTCTTATTTGAACAATACATTTATTTTTATCTGTGTCCTTCAGTCAGTGTCTCAGTTCTGATCAGGTCCAGCCGGCCTTTTTTATGGCTGTCATGGCAGTTTCACCTCCTCTTGTTTATGCACACTTGCACCTGTGCAGGAAAAAGACGAAACCGAAGTGTTTTTTTATCTGGATCAAAACAGCAAAGATCTGCAAAGGTGCATGCTCTCATTTGACCCTGTCCTCTCGGTCCGGTTACATAAACAGGCTGACAGCTTTCGCTCTTACCCTCAGCTGGTGGCTTGTGTATTTGGTAACATCTGAACCACAAGCCCACGAGGAGGGCTTCAGTACACTGGAACGTGATGTACATCAGAGGGAAGAGAAACATGGGTCCAATGACCTGTGGAGGAAAGGCCACCTTGAGAATGGTAGTGCACAGCTGGATGTTTTGACATCCTGTCTCCATGGAGATAGTTCTGCTGCATCTAAAGGGGAGGAAAATCAGTTTAATGCATTTATATTATTTTATTAAACTGAGTTTTTATAGATTTAAAATGTCTAATGATCAGCACATGGACCTGTGGTTCATTAAGAAGACTTAAAAATAACCATCAATCAAACTATATTAGAAAAAGGCATAAAAAAGCAACAGTGTTGTGATTTTTGTTTCTGAAGGTTATCAAACGTTCATATGTGTTATAATACACAGAAATATTCCAGTTTTGCACATTTGAGAATTTTATTTCATCTCATCTTGTGCAAACCATGTTTCTTCATGTTTGTGCAGTTCATGCAAAATGTGCACAACAGAGTTGCCATGACATCCTGTCCTTGATAAATGCTTTATTACCTGTTTAGAGTAATTAAAGCTCGAGATTATTGAATGGTTGAGCATCTTTTCTGTGCAAAGGCATTTAGGATTACTTTGAATTTTCACATTAAAGTGCAAGTTGCATAATTCCATCTTGTTTAAAGTGAGTGAAGAAAGAGAGAGGAGGGTTTTCACCTACTGTGGACTGAGTCTGCAGATGACAGACATGACATAGCCCAATGTAAACCCGATTAGAGGCATCAGCGCAGCCACCGAGAGGACGTCTGGCATGAAGATCATCCATATCACATCTCTGACAACTAAACCAGACAGGACAGAAATTATGATGGTGGAGATAATCAGGATGCTGACACCAGTCTGTCAAAAAGATAATAAAATGGAGATCAGTTTATTTCTTTGCAGTTTTTTTCATAATTTAGAAATGAAGTTTGATTTGATTATTGTACTCTGATATTGAAATTTGGTGATTTGACACATTTACAAAACAGATTTACATGATAAAAAGGACACATTCTGATGAAATTAGATTACAGATTCTTACTTTTGTGACAACTGACGAGTAGTTTGGTTTATAGTGATTGATGAGAATGCCGATGGCACAAGGCACCAGTGTGGACACAAGGGCGGTTATGATGCCAGCGTATGGCACAGCGTTCTCCAACCCTTTGAAGCCTTTGCTGAAGACGTAGAGCAGCAGAGGCATGAGACCCAAGGCTGCGACGCTGGAGCAGGTCGTCATGACGATACTGGCAGAGTTTCGAATTAAAATTAAACATTGTCTAATGAAATTGTCCAAAGTGACAAATAAAGAATCAATAGGTGACAACTTTACCTGAGGTTCATGTCACCATTCACTAGGAGTGAAAAAATATTTGATAAGCTTCCTCCTGGACAACAGCCACAGATGAGCACAGTAACAGCCTTAAAGGGATCCATCTGCAGGATTTTGGCCAGGGAGAAAGCGGTGATGGGCATGATGCAGAACTGAGCAACAAGTGCAATGGCCACCCCCTTTGGCTTGAGAAGATGGACCTTAATTTTAGATATCTCCATGGTGCAGCCAAGGGAAATCATAGTGATGAAGAGGATGATGATGGACAAGACATTAATGGCTGTGTTCATGTGCTTGGGGATGTTCAGAATACCAACGCTTCCATTGCCAGGGATGCCACTGTCGTTAGAGGTGAAAGTTATCTCCACACTTCCTGTTGTCACATTCATGGTGCCAGTCATCCCAGCTCTACTTTGACTCTGTCTTGGTTTTTATCTGTCACACAAATGAAATGGAAAATGTTGATTTATTTCTGAAATTTAGATTTAGTTATTATTCAGGCAGATGGCCTTTAGTAAAGAAAAGAATAGCTGCCATTTGCAGGACATAGGTGTTGGGGTTAGGGTTAGCATCACAGATACTTGATATGTTACAGTTAAGAGAACTGCACTTAACAAGATTAAGGGTCAAAGTGTTTAAAAATGCATCCATTCATTTTCCTCTGCTTAGCCGGGGTCAGGGTACAAGCCTGAGCAGAAAGGCCCAGACTTCCCTCTCCCAGCCACTTGGTCCAGCGCATCCGGGGGGAATTCTAAAGCATTTCCAGGCCAGCCAAGAAACTTTGTTCCTCCAACTTGTCCTTGGTCTTCCTTTAGGCCTTCTGCTGGTTGGACGTGCCCAGAAAACCCCATCAGAGAGGCGTCCAGGGGGCATCTGAACCAGATGCCTCCAGATGCAGCACCAATCTCCTGCTCTAGCTTTCCCTCATTCATGAACAAGACCCTGAGATACTTTAACTCCTGCATTTGACCTCAACAAGGCCTTCTACCCTTGTACGACTCGAGACCATGGTTTCGGATTTACAAATACCCCTAGTGCCATTTTATTTGGAGCTAGTCTCAGATCTATGTGAGCACATTTAGACGCCCAGGCAACCATTAGAAACCTTATTCAGTGAGGCTGACCTGAGATCTCTGGGCGTGTTTCCAGCATGACTCCTGAGTTGTGCCTCTTTAAGAACTTATGGGTCACTTTCTTGTGCCCTTGTGGCAAATTTATCCCCCGTTGGTCAAACTCGGAGACAGTAAGCCTTCTTTTTTCCTCTTAGCTGACCCAGTAACATGTCTGTTACCATAACTCAACTGCAAGATCAGAGTTTAGTCACAAAAGGGACTTGGCTCTTAATATTTATGGCACGTCTTCCTAAGAGGAGCAAAACAAGCTGTAACTCTGCATGGTGGGTAGAAGTCTCAAACACAAAAGTTACAAACAACTCTTAACTGTGAGGTCTTGGTTTGTTCTTTATTGGACAGAAAAGTTTATTCATAAATGTTTACACTAAACAGCCAAATGACTTTTGCTTTCAGGTGGTAACAACCTCCCAACAGTGCTTTTTGTCTTTCTAATTTAGAAAAACAAATTAATCTTTAAATTCTTGAGAATCGTTCAGAATATTTTGTAAAATAGTTATTAAAATTTTTCTTTCAAAACTTCAAACTATTTGCACCTATTGAATAGATTTTATGTTTCGTATATTTGCTTCAGTTAAGCAATTGCTGCTTGTGTTAATGCAACAGGGGTGTGTGCAGGAGACTGCACGACTAAAATACAAGTTTTTCATTACCTTGTTTTCCAAAACGCAGTAAAGTGTCCTTAGAGAAGAGCAGTTGGAGCCAGATGTCTAACTTTGAGTAGACGTGTCCATCTGTGAAGGCAGTCCTGCTCGTGTGTGTGTGTGTGTGTGTGTGTGTGTGTGTGTGTGTGTGTGTGTGTGTGTGTGTGTGTGTGTGTGTGTGTGTGTGTGTGTGTGTGTATGTGTGTGTGTGTGCAAACAATGTTATAATTGTAACAGCGCTCTTACTGTAGAGAGGAGATTCCTATTGAGTCACTTGTTAGGGAAGTAAATCTTTTTAGCAATGGTTTTAGATTCCAAATAACCTCTATTAGATATCAGTCTTAAGTTCATTCAGAATGCCATTTCCACCCACAGCAGCATCTTCTCTGTTTTCTATTGTTCAAAACCAAAATATCTCATTTAAATGCAGTTTTTTTAAGCATCAGATAGCTAATTACAACTAAAACATTAGAAAAATTCATTTGAATATATTATCGAATGATTTAAGGAACGCCGTGTGTGGATTAATTTCAGTCAGCATCTGGAGAAAAAGGATATGAGGGGTACTTGCTGTCATTAATCGGGACTATGTTGCATTTCTTTAACAAGTGGGCAGGACTTAAAAACCTACACTGCAGGGCGCTTTGGTGTCAATATTCTGCTTTCCTCTGTCTATTATATATATGTGTAGTGTCACGAATGTCCTGTTTTTGACCTAAAGGTCATGATCTGCTGCGTCTGTTCGAGCAGAGACATAAAGTCTCTGACAGCCTAATCTACATGAGATAGTGGCCAAGGTCTTTCATGCACTCTGCTCATCTGAACTGCTTCACCTCTGTTACAGCGCAAAACAAAGACGAAGAACTCTTTTGATAAAACATAATCAACAACTTTGTTATTACCAATAATAATGTGAGCCCAATGTTCAATCAATCTGTGAAATGACAATGTTATTACTTGATATTATAATCCTGTGATCAGAAGTATTTTACAAGTTATTATAATCTTGGACATTTGCACTAGACACTAATGACACGTCATGCTAAATTAACACGACATTTCCTTTTGTCTGATCCAATCAGAACCTTCGTTTCTGGCGCAAGGCGTGGTTTTCTGTGGTGTTTGTATAAACCCTCTTTTGCATGTCGAATTCTGATTTGCCAGTAAACCAAAATATGACACTTGTAAAAACTATTCCACAACATCTTTTCTTTAGTTCAAAGCATTCCAGAGAAGTCTCGGACAGGCCATCAGGACTTCCTCTTCAGCCAAAAAGAACCTCCACAAGCTGGATAAAATCTGTTGCAAGTTACTCCTCAATGGTTCCTTCAGAATAAAAGCTGAAGCTCATGACCCCTTCAGGGTCTCGGAGATGGCAGTGATAACCTGTCGTGACCTGGAAGCATTCCAGGACTAGTTTGGTCGGCACGGCTGCTTTTCTACCGGCTTCGGTACCAAGCAGGGTCCAAGACGACGTAGACCGACAGATGGCGTTTCATGTGTGTTATAAATCTACTACTAAAGTTTAGAGCGAAACATTCACTCCCGCTCAGAACTAAATGCTGTTCCGGATCCGCTGGTTCTGATAATAACACACACACACACACACACCATCATTCATCTTGCGTCTCCACTTTAGTTCCATCAGTGCACCGAGTGTTTAAGTTAGTCTTGTTTAAATTGTGTAGAAATAAATCTCTTAACTATTTTAAACCTGACTCTCTCTCTTTCCTTGGAGTTAATACGAAGTGTCACTTAATCCCTGCAATAAAAAGTTCTGATCTTCTGGTTAAAACATTCAAAGATCCATCAGATTGATATTTCATATTTCTATGGAATCTCACATTTTATGGTTCATAAGTAAGATGTAAACTACCCATCCTTTACACATGACAGTATTTTAGACCAAAGTACCTCTTATTCTTATGAGATGAATGAAAAACAATGTTTCATACATTAAACACGTATTGTTTCGTTAATTTTCAAAGGCTGGCTTTAATTTAGCTGGATAAGGAAAATGGCAAACAAACACAGCAAATCTCTCTGCACCTGTTAACATTAATATACAGTCAGGTTTTAGCATCAGCATGACAACTGTCTACTTCTTGCGTAAAGTCCATGGTAACAATCTTTTTTTAATGAAAGCAGCTTGTTAGTTGTAAGATGTAAAACTTAATACATCTAAACAATAAAAAAGTTTCAAAATTTCGCTAAACTGGTTGCCGAGCCAAGTGCAATTAATCTCCTTTTACTCAAATAGCTCAGAGACTTAAAGAATGCCTTTTTGTTGCTGCAGCTCGAGGTCGGTCATGCATCTACAAAAGCATTACACACTCAGTGCCAAATAATAAAATGAGCTCTGTTCTTAAAAATGTCAAACTAAATACAAAGACAAACAAAATGAGTTTATAATGTGGGTCGCCTGAGTCAAAAGATGCTTTTCAACAATATAATATTTGACTGCTCCACTGTAATAAGATTAGTCAGTTATATCAGATAACTGAATCATAATGTAATGATATGTGGAAAAATGCATTTTCTTACCTCCATTTCTGGCCACGAAGCTTCCAACTAACTCACCCACACATTCTTGTGTCTGACCCCTCTTCTCTGTATTTGAGCCCCTTTGTCACATGGTCTCGTGACAACATGGATGGTAAACCCTGCAGGAGGAAACAGGAACAAGCACAACTGAGAAATTCTTGTTAAAAATTAGAGGGAATGAATTTTTGGGAGTAGTTTACTAAACATTTTCTTCCACTTTGTCTCTCCTTGTTCCTGCGTTTTGGAGCTCTGCAAGAAAAGTTTGGCATCAGCAAGCTTGACAGTGCACCTTAAGGCATGCTTCGTTCATTAGATTAACAAATTAACATTTTTCCTGGATGACTTACTGCTCTTTTCAAAGTACAAAACTTTCTCTTCCATGTTTTGGAAACTGCTGTGTTTTGGTTGACATGCCGAACAAGATGTACTAAATTAGAGATTGCTGCTCTTATCTGTAAAATGTATTAAATAGCATTTAAGGTATAATGATTGGATTCTCACACACCTAACTTATGAAGTATTTTGAATTAATTCCTAATCTTGCTTTTTTTCAGCTCATAAATTGTCATTCCCAAAGGAATGAAACACAGTTATCTTTAAAATTCAATTCAATTCAAAAATACTTTATTAATCCCAGAGGAAAATTGATTGCTGTAGTAGCTCAGAACAATAATAACAAGTCATCAAAGAGTTATTGTATATTACAATGGCTGTTGGCAGGAAGGATCTCCAGTAGCGGTCAGTGTTGCAGCCAAACTGAAGATGCGTCTGACTGAAGACACTCTTCCGTTGTCGGACAGTCTTGTGAAGAGAATGCTCAGGGTTGTCCATCATTTTCTTGATTCTCTGGAGAATCTTTCTTTGCATTATCTCCTCCAGTGGTTCCACAGTCGTCCCCAGAACAGAACCAGGCTTTTTATTAGGCTGTTGAGCCTTTTCAAGTCCCTGCTTCTGATGCTGCTACCCCAACAGACGATGGCTGAAGAGATTACACTCTCAACAACAGACTTGTAGAAGACCTGCAGCATCTTGCTACAGACATTGAAGGACCTAAGTGTCCTCAAGAAGTGCAGTCTGCTGTGTCCCTTCTTGTAAAAAGCTTGGCTGTTCTTTCTCCAGTCCAGTCTGTTGTCCAGGTGAACTCCAAGGTATTTGTATTCCTCAACCACCTCCAGTTCTTCTCCCATGATGGAAACAGTGTTTGACTCCACCCTGTTTCTTCTGAAGTCTAAAATCATCTCCTTTGTTTTGTTCACGTTCAAGGTCAGATGATTGTTTCCACACCATGCCACAGAGCGCTCCACCAGCTCTCTGTACTCAGCTTCCTGTCCATCTCTGATACACCCGACAACTGCAGAGTCATCTGAGTATTTCTGTAGATGACTGGTATCTGATTTGTACTGGAAGTCGACTGAGGTGTACAGGGAGAAAAGGAATGGTGAGAGTACAGTCCCCTGTGGTGCTCCAATGTTACTGATCGCCTGGTTTGATGTGCAGTTCTTCAGCCTCACAAACTGTTGTCTGTTTGTCAGGTAGTCTTTAATCCAGGCGATAGTTGAGGCCCCCACCTGTGTCTTCTGGAGTTTCTGGCAAAGTACATCAGGCTGGATTGTGTTAAATGCACTGGAGAAATCAAAGAACATGACCCTCACAGTGCTGCCTGCTTTGTCCAGATGACAGTGGGTTGGTTGAAGCAGCTGGATGATGGCATCTTCAACTCCAACTCCATGGTGATAAGCAAACTGCAGCAGGTCCTGATATGTCCTAGTTTGCTTATTCAGGTGTACCAACAGGAGTCTCTCCAGGACCTTCATGATGTGGGATGTCAGGGCAACCGGTCTGTAGTCGTCATTGACTGATGGGCGAGTTTTCTTTGGAACTGGAAAAAAGGGAGGATGTCTTCCACAGGACTGGAACCTTCTCCTGGGCCAGGCTGGGGTTGAAGAGGTGCTGCAGAATCCCACTGAGCTGCTCTGCACAAGCCTTCAGTACACTGGGGCTGACACCATCTAGACCTGCAGCCTTGTTCCTGTTCAGTCTCTCCAGCTGCCTCTTCACCTGACTTCTAGAGATAGATAGGTGGGAGGGGGAGATAAATGGGGCAGCAGCATCTCCTGACTTGGTTGAAGACAGATTTATAGAACCACAAGATTCCATGACTGTGTTAGAGGACAAAAGAGCTGGCGTGTGACAGAAAAATGTTGGATCAGAGGAGGATGGGATGTCTGATTGGCTGGGGACAGGCGAGGAGGATGCTGGGTTTGTTCCTGAACTGAATCTATTGAAGAACTTGTTCAGTTCATTGGCTGTGTCCAGGCTGCCATCTGTGCAATCCTTCCTCTGCTTGAAGACTGTGATCTTCATCCTGGGACGTAATTTTGGGGGGGGACGGGTGGGACATGTCCCCCCCACTTTTTCAAAAGGCAGTTTTGGTCCCCTGCACTTTTTTCCGTCCAAAAACAATGTTACGCTCCATTAAATGGATTTGGTTGAGCACTAGGACCGAAACGGAAACCGGTTTACTATTAGACCCGCCCAAAAGCTCATCTATTGGCTCTGCTGATACTTGCTAACGTAATATTGGCTGTTGCTGCTGTCACTCAAGTTGTAAACAGTCAGAACGTGCTCACGTTGTTTTGCTAGTTTGGAGCCGCTAGGGAACACCGGTACTGAGTCACATCGTCAACTAGACGCTGTGTAATATCAGAGCTCAGCTCAGCTTCCATTACATAACATTTGAATAAGTGTTCATTTGTGAGTCTTTGGTAGTTAGGCACAGCCAGGAGGCAGCATGTCAAGAAAACGAAAAGTGGATATAAGAGACTTCTTTCAAAGTCAAAACGTAAGTTGGAACATGTGACACCCCTGCATTAAGCTCAGACTCACCTCCTCCTTCACAAACATACTCAAAACTAACTTTTACAAACTCATCTCCTCCACATAACTGACTCCTCAGACACAATTTATTCGTATTATTATAATAATTATTTTTTTTATTATTACTATTATCATCATAATTATTATTACTAGTAGTAGTAGAAGTGTAACTTCAAAACTTTTATCATTTAACTTTATTGTAAACTTATCTATTGCAATGTATATTTTCACATTAAAAAGCTCTGAAAAATGAACAGTATCATCATCGTCAACAGATTTTTTTAAGCTTAATGTCAAAGATGTACACTTTTCATTAGATTTATCTTATTTTTTCCATTTATTTTTTGTGTGTTGAAATGCAACAACTGTTTAAACACTTTTAAGGGAAAAAACATATTTAATATGTTTTTATACACTCAAATGTTAGGGTGATGATCATGTGTAAAACATTAGTTCAGCATGTCCTCTAACACAGCAAATGAACAAACGGCCAGATCTCAGGAGGGACCGTTTATGTATAAATAATTTTTATACTTTTGGCCTGGGAATGTAACAAATTTTGCTGGACGATATTTTGTCCAACAAATTGTTGATGATAAACGATATTGTCAACATTATCTAGACCAAAATAACCACTAATATAATGTTAATATATCATAATAATGCAAGTACACCCTTTAAAATGCAACAAATAAACCTTCATTTAACATTGAAATGTCCAGAACCAGAACTTCTAAATGAATAAAAATAACAAACAAAAATTAAATAAAAAAGGAATCTCACTCCCTGTTAGAAAATGTTGCACCAAAAACAATAAAAAGACCCAAAACAATAAATACAATGGCCTATCCATTGTCAACAGCCAAAACTGCACTTCAATAATGATAATAAATAAAAATAATAATAGAGTTGTAAATTTTTTAACTTTGATATATATATATATATATATATATAGATAGATAGATAGATATAGAGGATGGAAAAATTATTGAGATGGGCACGTGACGTGTCAAGGGGTCTTTACATAACACCCCCCACCCCAAATCCGCACAAGCCTGCTGTGTCCCCCCCACTTCTGAAATCAAAATTTCGTCCCTGTCTTCATCCCTGACCAGACATCTCTATTATTGTTCCTCTGTAGTTTGTTCTCCAGCTTCTTCCTGTATGCCTCCTTGCTGTCTCTGATCTTGATCTTCAGTTGCTTCTGTATACTCCTCAATAATTCCCTGTCTCCCTCCTTGAAGGCTCTTTTTTTTTTTCATTTAGCAGATTCTTCAGTTCACTGGTGATACTCCAACATGCAGCCACCCAGAGCAGCGCAGTTCCGGAATGAAATCAATAAAAATGATCAAACATGGAAATAAAATTTTAATAATTTGATATATCTAATAAAATTAATTTCTGTCATTTTTTTTTTTCAAAATCGCCCCCAAGGGCAGTATTGTTCAAAATACTTCATTTCCCACGATTCCGTGTTTTAAAGCGCACGCGCTGTGTGTGTTTTTCCGTTCCATGTGTAGGCGAGTCACGTGGAGAAAAACGGTTGATTGCATGTCATGTTTCTGCCTTAGCAGGAGCTCTGTGCTACGCTGTGGTCACCTCCAGTTGTCGCTGCACTTTGTTTTGACAGCTGCCTGTTTTCTTTTTAGGTTGTTTTTACTGAAGAATGAGTGAAAACGATGACATCGAAGTCGACAGCGATGTAGGTGTTTCAGTTTCTTCCTTGTTTTAGCTAGTTGGTCTGTTAGCCGACCAGGCTACATAAATATCCCTACCCCCCACTGGTGTGTTTGTGCTAACTTGTTAGCTTCCTGGCTAACTCCTTTTTTAACGTTTGGCCTGCCACTTGTGGAAGTTGTTTAGTTTGATTTTATTTATTTCGGGCTTTTGGTAAATAAATAAAAATCGAGCACATGAGACGAGGCTGTCGAATAAGCTACCCTGTTTCACAGCATTAGAGAAACAGCGACATTAGCTTTCCCCCTCTCCAAACACAACCGTTTGTTTAAATCATTATTTTTTATTACATCTTGGCCGTTTTTAGCACATTTAAAGAGAAGAAAATGTTATATTCGCTGAAACGCAACTGAAGTGATCGAAACTGAAAACGAGATACTAGACGAACAGCAGAGCTAAGCTGTTGCTGTAAGGAAGGTCAGCTCGGCGAAACATTTAAATATGTTTCCCTTTAAACAAAATGTTTCATGTTTTCCCCCAATCGTGTTTTAAACTCTGCTTTGCGAGCGTTTCATTAAAAAAAAACTACATATGAGGTTGATCCATACACGTCACCATACTAACCAGGCCTGTTAAGCACTGGTCACAACCGTTTCTGTAATGCGTGTTTCATTTAAAATCGGACATAAGATTACAATCGCCTGTCTTATTTTCTTGGCTACAACCTCTTTAAACTGGATAGGCATGAAGTACTCGATGTTCTCTTTGACCCATTTGGTATCTCACGTATCATCCGACCTCTCTACACACTGGCTGGCGTCGCTCGATCTCCATTAAAGCTGCACGAATGTAAAATGCATCATGGCTTTAAAAATACATATGTGGAGGATATGAATTGATTTGACCGAGCAGACAGTAGATTCATTTAGACTTTGCAGGACAGAAACGTGCACAAAGCTTTGTCAGAGTGGGAAATTATGCTAAAATCCCATTTTTGCTAGGGGTTGTTCTTTCCCCACATTTGTTTGAGTTGCAGCTTTAGATCCTTATGCAGCTGCCGGAAGCGTGCACTTGTTGACAAGTTGAGCCCTTATTGTTGAAGCAATTTAACAAGTGTACACAATAAATTCATGTTGACAGAGTTGTGTGCTAATGTCTTTTCTAATGCCGCTGGATCATGGGGGCAAATAAATCATAATCACAATTTTTTTTTGGTCAATATTAAACAAACTGTTACTTAACACAATTACTCAATGGTATTTATTGTCAGAGACACCACAAGAAATTAAAACAAGAGCATCACATAATTTCCAGACTGCTACGTTATTCATTATGATCTGTTTTGTGTGCTTCTAATCGAATCAACCGATATGGGTTTTCTGTTGCCGATACCGACATACCACAGCAGATGGCCGATATGTGCTGCCATTTGTTTTACAGATTTTCACTTCTGATGACTAGACGTTTTCTGCCTTATTGCATGCTAAATTAACACTAATTTGAGACTACCTGCTAGCAGTAGCTTAGCTGAGTTTAGCAGAGTTGAAGGAAAGAAGCTGTTTAGGCAGGAAAAGGCATCTGTGTAGCAGTCATACTGACCCAAGGATGTGCCTGTTTTTAAATTGGCTCACTAAAGAGGCAAATTGGGCCAATAGTTACCATTTTTTCTATATCAGCCAATGAAACGGTATTGCAAAAGAACGGTAAAGTCAGCCTGATAAATTGGCTTATCCCTAGTTTCCCTAGAAGTTTTCTGGCCATGTAAAACCTAAAATATTTAGGCTGTTTAGTGGTGAAATAAACAAACATTTCTGAGTGCTTAATAAAACAGAGAAAAGCTGCTGAAGAACCTTGGATGTACAAGCACTGACGGAGGACACAAAAAGTTGTTTTTGTTTCCAAGAATTGTTGATGCTTGGAAATAGAGCCATATGTGGAAATATATCACAAACATATCACAAAACTGCATATTGAGATCGTAATTGAAAATTACTTGAGGCATATTGTTTGATAGGCTTAAAATGTGTGTGTTTATTCTTGTTTTGATTTTTAATTGACCACAACATGCACAAGTTTAGCCATCAGAGGAAGTGTGAGTGAGTGATCTGGCAGGAAAGACCAAATGAAAGCATCCTTGCAAACATTTTTATTGATGATTCATTTGTTGTTGAGTTTTGAATATAAACTGTATTAGTCCTGGTCGTTTTTTCATATTGAATTATTTATAAACAAATAAAGACTCATGAAACACCCATTCATTTCCCTGCATTCACTCCACACACACACCGTCAGCTAGACAACGACCTGTGTGCTGTTTGTTTATTTGAATGCAAATAAGGATTGAGATGATATTGTAAGGCCAGAGTAACGGAGTCCAGCAAATATGAGTACATTTTCATGGGATCTGTTTTGTTTTGATTTTACAAAATGTCTGAATTATAAAATTGTTTACTCTTTTTTTTTTTTTTTTTGCAGGCAGACAAACGAGCACATCACAATGCGCTGGAGCGCAAACGGAGGGACCACATCAAGGATAGCTTTCATGGTTTAAGAGATTCTGTGCCTTCATTACAAGGGGAGAAGGTAAGGGGAAGTGAATTCACAGTGTGAAGAAAATAATTATATTATTTGTTGGCAATCTGTAGCTATTTTTCACATTTGATGTGTGATTTCATTTTTTTTTATTATTATTATTATTGGGATTGCATGTAGTATCTGAGTAATCCTTTTGTAGACAGAAATCAAAGTTATTTCAGTTTGTAGAATTAGGGAAACATGAGCTCACGGTTGAGAAGTTAAATACTAAAACTCACCCCAGTGAGTGCAGCGACTTACCGGACACTTACCCCAAAATTCCACTACCTCCGCTCCGGCACGAACTCTGCAGCAAAATCGGTCCCGTTGTAGTCAATCAGAGCTGTTCCACTACTGCGGCTGTGCGGCGCAGTGCGCCGCCCACCGTTCCGCCATCCGGCAAAAATAGGATCAATTCTATTTTTGACGGACGCCGGAGCACCTCCGCAGTCGATGGACAGAAATCACAACCGCCCAACAGGAAAGGGAGCAAGCACAGCTTCCATTATTTCACAATAAATCAATAACAAAAAGCGTTTTTTGTTTCATATGCACAGGTTTAACAACTTTTAACAACTATCAATGGCGGCAGAACTTTAAATGCACAAAAGTAAGCCATAAATATAGTTTCCACTATCAAAGTAGTCACACTTAGTTGATCCAAACACTGCTGATCTGTCAACACAAATGATGGGCAGATTAAACAGTTCATGTCGATGCTTCTCCCACACAACGGGTGTTTGGATATAACTTCTGCGTTTATTGCTCGGACTGTATCGCAAGATCTCGAAAATCCCGCGCATGCCTGTTTGCCCACCTCAGGTCTCCGCACCGGAGCGGAGCCGTTGTAGAGCGGGTACCATTAAAAATTGAGTTCGGAAGCGAGCGGCTGCAGAAGGCGGGGGCGGAGCGGAGGTAGTGGAATTTTGGGGTTAGGTGTTGCGTAACGTCTGCTAAGCATAGCACGCAGCTAATAGTCATTGTTATAGTCGATGGGTGTGTTTCCAGCGGCTGCAAAGTGGTGAATTTTGCACACGTCCCAGAAGCATAGTGTTCCGTTGCTCTTCTACGTTCACACCTCGAGTTTATTTTTATGCGCTGTTCTTCCAGATTGCGTCAAGTTCAGTTGTTCAGATTGAGTCGGACAGGAAATCAAACACAGGAGCCGTGTAAAACATCTGGAAACTTTCAAACTAAAAGCCACATGCAGATTTCCCATTGTTTTTCTAGGTAAGAAAAGTATGCCATTAAGTTTGACGCCTCCATAGCTGAAGTAAACAGAACAGCTACTTTAACTGCCAAGATCTTGCAATTCTCCCGAGGCACCATGACCTCGCGGGACCAGCTGTGTGGTACGCTTTCACTGCTGTTTGGCGTCTGAAGAGCTTCCTGTGGGAAGTGACGCATCGCTGAGCTTGCATTTCGCACCCAAGTTAGAAAAAAATCAGTTTAATACATTCTTCATGAAATGATGTCACTTTTGCATCAGATGCTTATTTATGCTGAAGCCTTGTCTTTTTTAAACACACCGCAGTTCATTCCAGTGCAATACTCAACAGTTTGTTTTAAAGCCTCATGTAATGGTAACAAGGTAGAAAACTACACAACATTCCCTTGAACAGACATCCATCTTCCCTGTGATGTTCTGGATTTGCGTGCGTCTCGATGCATTTGTTATATTTTGCATTAAGCAAAACGACTACAAAGTTGTCGCATGGCTCTAAGACATTGTTCTTCCTCAACAGGCTTCACGAGCACAGATATTAGACAAAGCTACAGAGTACATCCAGTTCATGAGGAGAAAAAATCACACCCACCAGCAGGACATTGATGATTTAAAGAAGCAGAACGCACTGCTGGAGCAACAAGGTAATGGGAGCAATCCCTAATCGAACACGTTCACACAGTAACTGTAACGTTTTACTACACTTTCTGTTTTCATTGCTGATCCCTTTAAGTTCGTGCACTGGAGAAGGCCAAAGGGAACACTCAACTCCAGACAAACTACTCTTCTGACAGCAGCTTGTACAAAAACCGCAAAGGAAGCGCAGTGTCCGCATTTGACGGCGGGTCCGACTCCACCTCCGAATCGGAGCCAGAGGAGCCGCCCAGCAGAAAGAAGCTGCGTGTGGAGGCCAGTTAAACTCCGGTGCCCCCCAGACTCTTTGCATCCACCAGCTCCAGCATCTCTGACCTGTCTTCTTATGCTCCTAACTTCTTAAATCAGTCCAAGACACAAGAAGGAGACAGTGTGTTAGGTGCTGTTACTGTTTTATTAAAACGCTTCTACCTTGTTGTTTCCTCCTGTTTTTGTGACCCAGCAATGACTTTTATTATCCCCAAAGTGAGGCAGCTCAGCAGTTTTTGAAGGACTTGATGCTTTTGAAACCTTGTGATAACATGTTCATGAAATGACACGTGAGCCTTTAGTAAAGCTACAAAACAACTTTTGCAGTTTGTTGAATTGTGAGATTTTAACACCTTTTATGGAATGATAATTGAAAGAATTAGTGTTTTTAATATTCATATAAAAATGTGAATTTGTTTTCAGTAAACATGCCTGGAATGCAAGGTGTGCCCTCCTTTTTGATGTAGGTGACTGAAGTTTTTGACTTTGAGAACTTACTTGAATCACATAAAATCCCCCTTTTCTCCCCATTATATAGTCTATCCATATGGCTGATCTCTATACTGATTTACAAGAGGATTTTCACAGCTTTTGAATAGTTATTCAGAGTTTATACACGTGGTTATGTTTAAAAAAATCACTTAATTGATACTGAATGTTACACAATGAAGTTATAGGACAGTGACTTTAATTTTTGTTCATGGAAGTCCATTTCAGTGTGTAGTATATAACACTGTATACTCTCAAGTGGTGTCAGTTCTGCAATGAAAAGCCTTCCCTTGAAATATTTGCCTGCGCTGGGAATGTTGATCTTAAAAGTTTAAAAAAAAATGTGTGTATGTAATAAATATTTGTTCCATTCCATGGAAATTACAGGTATGTTGTACATACTGCCAATGGTTGTCTTGCAAGTTAAGGCATACCTTTATTATGAGATTATAAATAAAACTATTTTATCCTTTTTGGATGTATTCATGGCTCAGTGTGTATTTTATTAGTTATTTTTGTCACTCTGAAAATGTGTCAAAATTACATAAATGTTTCAGGAAAAGTTTATGATTCAGCAAAAATGTGTTTGCATTGTTTTTCGTAGTTTGTGCTGGAAAGTTAATTTTGTTTTAGCCTTTTCCCTCTACTTTGGAGATGCTTGCATATCCCAGAGTTGTCTTTTTTCCTTCAAATTATTGTAAAAAATAGCTGCCTGGAAGAACTATATTTGTATCAGGTCAAGTGAATATCCAGTTAACCATTAGAAAAATGAAATTTCAAATATTTACTTTCTTGGACTGGTAAAACTGTTCATTCTTATACATTTTCACTTTTTTTTTTTTACATAAAATGTAATATTTGTAGTTGAAATTTTACCATTTCCCCTAAACTGACAGGAAGCAAGTAATTAGTTAAAAGATGCTGATTTCCGTGCTGCCTTTGTATTTATGTGGATTTTGTAAGTTACATAAAAATAGACCCCTTGAAAACTCGTCAACAACTAAGAGTTTGAAATAAGAAAATATATGAGAGTATATCTATAAAAAAATGGAGCAAAAATTGTATGAAGAACATGTTTTATCTTCTTTAACCCACTACTTCAGAGCTTGAAGAGGGATTGTCTGAGGGACAGTGAACGCAGCATCAGATCAGAAGACCTGTCAGAAGCTGAGAAGAAAGTCATGCTCTGTGATATATTTTAGGTTTTGGGGGGTCATGGCGAAGCAGTACGATATTTTATTCCGGCTGCTCATTCTCGGAGACTCTGGGGTCGGAAAGACGTGCATGTTACGCAGGTTCACGGACGGAGAATTTGATCCTTCGCATATTTCTACAATCGGTAAGAAGCCCTCAGGCAAGTTTTAGGCGCCGACTGAACTTTTACGCGTCAGCTGTTAGCAAAAACTGACGTGAAAATGTATATTTGTTTATTTTCCCAACAGTTTAATTAGATGTCCTGTTTAAAATACAATTTTCATTTTCTAAACCTAAAAATGAAATGTGTTTACCACAGGAAAATCCCCGTTTCTGGTCTTTTTTAATGATTATTCCCACAAATCCCACTTATGTGGATTGATGAACACATGAGGACCAGCCCCTTTCCTGTTTCCTGGATCAGTGACTTGGGACGTGGTTAGCTATAATTTGTAGATTTAGTTTTTTTCTTTCAAGAGTTTGTCTTTATCAGCATGGGCACAGTTTAACATGGGACTACAGAACATGAAATAATGATGCCCAATAATTATTTTCTGCTTAGCCCGTTTATTTCTGCTCCAGGAAGCAGGAGACATGCAGAACATGTGGTGCCAAGCTGTCAGAAGGGCTTTGTGTCTTCCATTAATTACTGAGGAAAAGCTGGAGGCTGCAATTTTTCTTTTGTTCTTCAGGGTAGGCAGAAAATGATCAGCATCTCGGTCCTGATTATTGTTTCTGACTTTATATTATATTATATTATATTATATTATATTATATTATATTATATTATATTATATTATATTATATTATATAAAGAGTTTTAAGAAAGAAGAAACTCAGTAACTCGCAGCACTCGGACTAGCCAGTCGTTCAGGGGTCAGAGCTAATCTCCGTTTCTCTAAACTGAAGCCATTCAAAGGCCTACAGCATGCATGAGTTGTTCATGACCTTTCTGTAGAAAGTTACTTCAGATTTAAAGATGATGTTGTTGTACAGTAATTTTAATAGCTCCACAATCTAAAGCAGCTTCACATCTATTAAATAACTTATTGCTCGATAAAATCTCAGCAGAAATGAAGTTTTTCAGGATTTGCCGTTTCAATGATGAAAAACTGGAACGTTTTTATATTTTCTTCAGCATGATAGGTAGTTTTCATCATTATTCACAAATTTGTATTTAATAAATAACTATTGGTACCACTGTGCAAAAGTCTTCATCCGCCTCTCATATATTTAAACTGTGTTATAAATTTAATTGGTCTCAATCTGAAGTTCCTCAGCATTTCAGGCGTGGTTTCTGTTTTTAGACGAAGGCTTTTGCACACGTGCCCACTCCAGCATCCCACAGTGAGGTTTTATGTGTTTCAGAGTAAACCCTTAGCTGTGGTGTGAGAACAATGACCAGCCTTTGTTTGAACACAAACCAGTATTTCTGCAGCTCCTGCTGTTCACTCACATTTCTCAACTTCCTTCCACTGTTACCAAGCAGAAAATCCCTCCCACACTTTATTCTACATCAGCTGCACCCCCTCTTTTTGTGCACAGTACCGCCTCCACTAGTATCACAGATAATGGTCTTTCTGAGCAACAGCCATGAAGTCTCCACAAATTGGATCACGTTAAGAGCGACAAAGTTTTTTTTAATTTTTGCCACCAATTAGTGTTTTTTGGAGTGTTTACATTTTTTAAATGAATTCTTTATTATTTAAAAAAATATTTCTCATGAAGATTTAGTGCAAGAAAAATGAGGTCCAGATATGAAGGGTGGTGGGGTGGAAAGGGCAGGAAATTGGTAAAATGCTATTTTTATTTTTGATCCAAAAAGGAAATGTTTTATTTCCTCCAGTGACGTTTGGACAAGGACATCTTTTAGACAGCTGTCAGTGGACGAAGTGCTACATGCTCAACAAACATAATGAGATGTCAGTGGGAAGGACGTCAAACAGGGCAGCTAAGGGTGAAGGCTGGATGCTGGCAGATGTGATGACTGAGTGTGTGTCATGGACAGATGTCCAAAACGGAGACGGAACATGTAGTTAGGAGGACATAAGTGACATGTGTTACAGTTTGGATCCGTCCCAAAAGGCAAACCTAAGATCTGGTGCCAGAAACAGCAGCCACCAGCCGTTCTAATGACTTAACTGGTTAAGAAACTGCAGCAACAGTGACCATTAGGAGGGAAATGTGCTTTTCTTTAAACATGCTCAGATTGAAGCAACAGTGATTAATATTTTTCTGATGATCCCTTCTTTTTCTTCTTTTTAGGTGTTGATTTTAAGATGAAAACAGTAGAAATCGATGGAATCAAGATCCGAGTGCAGATCTGGTACGTTTGTGCAGTGATGTATTTACATAAAAATGAAATTCTGGCAAACATCATTTAAAGTTTTGCTGTCGTGGTTTTTGTCTTCTTTGCAGGGACACAGCTGGACAGGAACGGTATCAGACCATTACCAAACAGTACTACAGGCGAGCACAGGTATGAAAAGACCCACATAACTTTATATTTATAACTTACACATTTCAAGTCTTTTATTTTCTTTGTAATGTGTCTTTTTCAGGGCATTGTATTTGTGTATGACATCACAAGCAATCTGTCCTTTCAGCACATAGTGAAGTGGGCCAGTGATGTAGATGAAGTAAGGCAATAAGTGCTCCCATATCCGTAAACATATCCGTAACTTATGTAGCTTCTTGTTTGTTGCAGTTTGCCCCAGATGATGTACAGACTGTCCTGGTAGGAAATAAGGCTGACAACGAGTTCAGGAGGCAAGTAACAAAGGATCAAGGATATAAGGTTTGAGTCATTCCATTATATAGATGTATAATTTTTAAACATTCATGTGAGGAAGCATGCAAATCTGTTGGAAACTGCCTCCCAAAACTGGGATTTGTGTCGTTTCGAATTTAAAGCTACAGCTGCAAATATGCAAAACAAGCTAAAAGCTACAAGCTAAAACATTTTTTTCATGCCTCTTAATGTTCTAACATAGCCTAGCTATAAATATTTTGTGGAGAACAAGTGGTTCTCTCGGATATGTCCAAAAATCTCAGCCAATGACATTGCTCGGTCCGAAACCAACGATCGGACCATTCAGGTGTCTGTCTCCCCAAACCACCACACTTCCACATCTACCTGGGTCCTCCACTCATTATGGATACATACATTTTGCAGCAGAACCCCGCTGGTGTGAGAGGTTCTCCGTTCAATAATGTCAGAGAAACAACCGCTTGAACTGTAGGGCAAACTACTGGCTTCTACACTCAACAAAAATATAAACGCAACACCTTTGTTTCTGCTCCGATTTTTCATGAGATGGACTTAAAGATCTAAAATTCATTCCAGATACACAGTATTACCATTTCTCTCAAACATTGTTCACAAATCAGTCTAAATGTGTGGTGGTGAGCACCTGTGCTTTGCTGAGATAATCCATCCCACCTCACAGGTGTGCCAAATCAAGATGCTGATCCGACATCATGAGTAGTGCACAGGTGTGCCTTATACGCCCTGCTTCCGGCCATGAATACGGAAGTAGGGAGAATGGCTTAAAAGTGCTAAACATTTTTCAGCCTATAGAAGGTGCTGTCAGAGGAAAAAAAACCCTCTGGATTTCTGCTCTAAAGCTGCGGTCAATGGCATGATGCCATCAAGGAGAGGAAAAGGAGCTGTCGCTTTTGTTCCAGCTTACCTTCTGTAAGGAGCTGCAAGCCACGCCTTTTACTGTGCATGCACAGCTAGCACCAATGGACAAGTAATGTATTTGATATGTTCCTGTTCAGACACGCCTGATTCTAATTGCTGAGTTATCTCCTCAGCCTTCACCGGGTTCTGCAGGAGCCGCTAATTACTTTTTTCAATCAAAACTGCAGAGCAGGGAAACGTCTAAAACCAGCATGAATCCGGCATTCGTAGCTCTCCCCAGCCAAGGCGACAGCAGGCTAAAACAACTGTCCAATGCTAAGCTAATCACTTTGCTCCAATCGACTAAAGATAAATCCATTTTCGTTCCTCTTCCACAGTTAGCGTGAAGTTTACAGATTAACATTCATTCAGTGCAGGTTGTGTTAGAGTTCGAGTCAGGTTGGGGTGTGATGCTGCCTGTGCGCCATCCTGCAGTGCATGCTGGGAACCGGTGCACATTCTCGTTGAGTGACAGCTCTACCTTGTGGATATGCAAATGATCTATTGGTCTAGGCTCGTGTGGATGATTTGTTTTGCTGTAGATGCCAAATGAAGGGACTTAGGGGAAACATAATTTATGTAACATTACCTTCTTTATACTGTAGAGCAGGATCAGATAGTAACATTGAAACATATTTAAAGTTAATTTAAAATATCTTAAACCACGTATCCCAACAGTATTTGATTTCCAACATATCCACTTGAATCGTATAGCTAGCAGAACACTATGGGATGGAGTTCTTTGAAACCAGCGCGTCCACCAGCAGCAACATCAATGAGGTAATTCACACTGAAAATGATTCGGAAAATATTTCGCTATGGGAAACGTATTAACAGAAAAATCTATTCAAGTGGCATTTTTTCTTTGCAGTTATTCATCCGTATGACAGAGCTGGTGCTGCTGGCTCACAGGAGGAATGTGGACAACCTCTTGGGGTCTCTGGATGACTATTTGGACAAGGCTGCTCTGGAAGAGGAGAAGGGGAGTCCTGATAATGGCGCTCAGAGGTTCTGTGCCTGTTGAAAACATGAAATCTGTCACCACGCCACAGCTTGTAGCTTAAACTTTCTTCAACTTTGTGACACGACTGACTTGACTGGGAGGGTGGTGGATGACTTTCACTCTCTTTTTTTTTTTATTTTGTGGTGATGAATGCTGTGAGCAGCAGATGTCAGTTTGTTGCCAGTGCCACCATCAGGGAATTTTAACACCAGATAGAATTATCAGTTCATGCATCCTCTTTTTCTCTCTTTTTCTCTTTGATCACTTGTTTGGTGCTCAAAGTGAAGTTTACACCCACTATACACTGATAGAAACAGGAACAAGTCACTGAAACCACACAGGAGCAGGTCATTTTTCACATGCTGAATGATCTTTCTTAAGTATGAAAGTGACAGCATGTGTTGAAGCCATATTACGGCAAAAAAAAAAAAAAGAATCAAACATGTTATCTTCAAGATGTTTGAAGGTTTGGGGAAATAGTGGGAACTATATTTATGTCCAAGTTAATAAAATGACCGTTTTCATATTGGAAGACTGGGGATGCGAATCTTGCTGAGTCATTCCTGTAGGGTTGCTGTAATGAAATCAGGTGCACAGGGAGTTCAGGCAGATGCATTCATTTTTCATCCCATTCTAGGAGACGCAGGTGATCACTGATGAATTAGTGATGACTGAGAAAACGAATACGTGTCACAGATATCCCAAAAGATCCAGGAACACCTGCTGGTTTCAGCTTTAAGACTCCTAGTTATCAAATTTAGTCTGAGGATATTGAATATATCTTTAAAGATGAGAATGTTTATTTTGCATTTGTTTATTTGACTTTACATCATTTATATTGTTTACTGTAAAACTTCTAAAAGAATCCAGTTTGTCACCTGGAGTCGGATCAGTTTCCTGCTGGGTTACCTGACACCTCTGAAAGGCAACTTTCTGCTCCGAGAGTCACGTCAGCAAACCTTTGGATACCTTCACACACCTGGGGTTCCAGACTGTCTCCAGTTGTGCAGTTAAGGAGCAGAGATGTCGTTTATCGCCAAGACGTTCTACGATCTGAGAGCTACCTCGCTGGAGGGAGACTCGGTGGACTTCAATGTCTTCAGGGGACGCGTGGTCCTCATTGAGAATGTGGCCTCGCTCTGAGGCACCACCACCCAGGACTTCAGCGAGCTCAACCAGCTACAGAGCAAATACCCCCATCGGCTGGTGGTCCTGGGCTTTCCTTGTAACCAGTTTGGGTACCAGGTGAGTTCAGCAGCTCTTTAATCAGTGATGCAGCGTTGGAAACGGATGATACAACAGGAGTGATTTTGTGGAAATTAGGTGGGAAAAGGTGCATTATTAAATGCCATCATTAAATGTATTCTGCAGGAGAATTGCAGCAATGGGGAGATCCTGAACTGCCTTCAGCATGTGCGTCCAGGTAGTGGCTTCAAACCCATTTTCACCATCTTTGAGAAGTGCGACGTCAACGGTGCAAACACACACCCCGTCTTCGCCTATCTGAAAAGCAAACTCCCCTATCCCGACGACGACCCCAGCTCCCTCATGCAGGATCCAAAATTTCTGGTTTGGAGCCCCGTCAGCAGGATGGATGTCTCCTGGAACTTTGAGAAGTTCCTCATCGGGCCGGAAGGGGAGCCCTTTAAGAGATACAGCAGGAATTTCCCCACCATTGACATAGAGCCTGACATTCAAAGGTTGTTAAGATTAACCAAGTCCTAAAAATAGCCCCTGCCTCAATGGCTTTTCATCCGTAACTGTCAAAGCCGACACTCTGCCCTCCACACTTTTAAGCCTTAATGAATGAGGGTGATATTCTAAAAGAAGTAAAGGGAATGTCATCTGAGACCTTGTAAGTGCTTAATGGTGATGGATGTGAAGAAATAAATTGATTAAATGCAAAGAAAAGAAAACAAGAATTTTATAGAAGATGGTTTTATCCTCCTTTTTTTTTAAAGTGTCTTGTTTTATGTTCGATCTCCCAGCAGATGGTGCTACTCATCAATCCAAGCAGGGAAAAAAATGATGTGCTTTCATGAATTTACATTCTGAACACACAATTGGGTTTGCACTGAAATAAAGGGCTAAAATTAACCCAATGTTTAAATGTATTTTTTATTTTTTTGGTCCACAAATTTAAATGCCACACTACACACGTGCTCTTTTGATTCTATTAAAAGACAAATGAAAGATTCTGCACCATGCAGAATAATGGGATTTAAAACACTGCAGATATGCATGAAATTATTTTTACCTTTAAAATTCTCCACTCCTGGTTCAGCATGATGCGCCACAGCCTGCTGTCTCCCCTTGTAGTCTCTGAGGTATTCTTTCAACAATAAATTACTGGAGCTGCAAGCGACATTTGCTGATACAAGTGGTCTATGCAGCATTACTGCCACATTGCTGCCTAAAGACAAGTCCTAAGTCATGCATTTAGGAAAGCGTTTGTGTGATATGCCCTCATCCAGCTTTGCTTTTCTATGTGCAGAGGGCTTTGTTTGCAGGGACTGCAGATTAACGTTGGATTTCCTGCACATCCGCTCACATCCACATCAGCTCATGATGTCACAGCCACAGGAGGCAACACTGGCCTGGCAGAGCCTTAATGTCTGTCGCTGCGGGTCAATAGGGGGACGAACAGTTTGTTGACACTTCTCTTATTTTAGCTTATATTTTTGCTTGAACTATATTTGATGGTTGAAGCCTGACAAAATGTCTTTACAAATCCAATTTTAATGTTTGTTTTGACAGGATGCATGAGGTCACATGATTATTCCCCACAGCTATGCTTGTCTGTGTTTGACTGTCAGATGAGCAATTCTACCTTTAGGGAGATGCAAATACTGCACTAGAGGAGTTATGACTGGGGCCTCTCCTGCACCCATCAGGAAAAAAAACTCATGAAAGATTATTTATGTTTGAGTGATGAGTCACTGTTTAAAATATAAAACTTTACCTTTCACTTTAGAACAGGTATGTCATCACATCACAGATGAACTTTGGTACTATAATAAACAAATGTGACATTTATGAACAAGAATTTAAAATCTGCTCAAATCGGGTTGAGGGCATCAATCGAGCTACTGGAAGAAAATCAGATCAGTTTCCTATTGTTGGATGTGAAACACTGAGCTTTGAGTCTTGAGGTTATTTCCAGGTATCAAATAAAGCTGAGAAATAATTGGAAATCTTATCACAAAAATTGCCATTAAAGCTAAAATTGTATAGCAATAAATGACTATAGGTTGTACAAACAAGTTGAAGTAGTTTGAGTTTTCATTATAAGATTTTAAGCAATGGTTATATAGATCAAGTTATTTTTAGGATTACAAGATTTTCCATTGCAATTATGTGGACCAGAAGCTAAAAGGTTTTAGAAGCACTTGATCCTATTTCTAAAATAAATGTCCCAGGAAGTGACATATAATGAAAAGATCAGGTATGACATGACAAGATGCAAATTAACAAAAACTGGGTTGCAGAATAATTCAATTACAAGAAAACTGACATAAAACAATTTGACCACAAGGTACAGCAAGTCATATTCACACACAAAAGTACATTAACTTGAAAAAAAATGCTGATCTAAACTGAAATACAAAGCAAAATAAATTAGACTAAAAGAGATAATTATTTGGGTGTGAAAGGCACTTATCACATATGATACTTTTAGCTGCTTTTCATTAGGCTCCATTTATATTAAAACGATTTTAAGTGAATTTAGATGTGAAAAATAACATTAGCAAACACAAACCTAAGTTAATTTGAAGCAAAATGACTAATCTAAGTTGAAAAACAATGTAGCTAAATGAGGCAAAAAAGATTATTTAGGTGTCAATAAGAAAATCACATGATGTGACACATTCTAGCTGCCATCATTTTTAAAGCAGAGTGAATTTAAATGTGGGGCAAACTGGGTAATTTGAGGCAAATTGGCAAATCCGAACTGAAAAACAGACCAAAAAAAAGAGAAAAAACATAAAATGTTATGTGTAAAATTATTCCAAAATCATATGGGACACGTTTTAGCTGCCTAACTCATTTTAAATCCGTGTTTTTATAGCGGAGTGAGCCCTCTTTCTTTTTTCTTTTTCTTTTTTTATTTTATCTACAGGTGAGCCCTGTTGCCACGGCAACGTCTAGCTTTCCCTCGCTTGGTGCTTTCTCGCGAGACTTCCGGGGCAGCGCGAGGGGAGGTAGCAAGCCTGAATGATCTCATCCCTTCAACGAGCTGCATACCGCAGCGAGGCTAAAGCCCGTAACTTTCTATCAAACTTTCAAGTTGCCTGTTGGAAGAAGGAAGACACCGGACCGTTAACGGGCTGAACCGGAACCAAGGCGTTTTTAACGGAGACGATTTAAAAAGGACACTGCGTAGTTTGTATCTATGTCTAAATAATGGCACCTTTTTACGAGTTGAGACAAAAGGAGGAAAATCACGTTGTGTGACATCTAAAAAGGGGAGAAAGGTGAGTGGTGGTGGATGCTGTGTGTTGGTCATGTGTGGGCTAATGGCACAAGGTGTGTGCGTGCGCTCTCAAACATCTGTCGGTTGTGTGTACAGCGCTGAGCACATATTTGCTCTGTGTGTGTGTGTGTGCGCGCGCAATCACTTCTAACGTTTTCTTCTAAGTCTCATCCGTAAATGTCACAAATGCCTTATTCCGTCATGAAAATCCACTGACTGATGTGTTTTTGTGTGGGGAAACAGACGGCATTTGTGGATTAAATACAGGTTAAATGTAAATAAATGAATGCCACCTCACGATTTTTCCTATTGATGATATTTTCACTATGAAAAAGGATAATTTCATTACAGATGTGCTGCACATCTGCTTACTTGTCTAGGCCCCCAATCACCAAAACAATATGAGGAATTCAGTCTTGACAGTTTTATGCTCCCTCTGCTGAATGTTTGTTAAGATCACAAATGTAGTTTGGCCTGGTCTTTGCCTTCATCGTGGGAAAACAGGTAAAAATTCATGGTAACATTCAAGTTAGGGTGGCAAACATTTAAAATAGTCTCCAAAAGGGTACCATTTATAAGAAAACAGCACACACACTCTCAAGTCCTACAAAAGCCATATTTTATATCTTGGATTGTCCAGGTGAAAAAATGAAGACTCGGATGTTAGCTCTGTATCAAGGATTTTCAACATTCTCGATAGGCTTAGCTGACCTGCAGCGGTGGGCATGACTGATCACAGCTACACTGCCACCTTTTTACTGCTGAATCTAATCTTCCACTACGCTGCTCCTCACTTTTTGATGGGATTCCTTGCAGAGGATAAATCTTAATGCAAATGTTGCAGCTTTTATTATGTTGAAGGGAAGAATACTCCCTGTGTTGCTGCGTGGGCCTAAAAATGTCTCATTCAGGGGGTCTTGAGACTAATTTGAGTAACGGCAGGATGAAAAGATCCGTCCAAAGGGATCTGAAAACATTTTTTGCACCTCCAGGGCATGAAAAATACCGCCTCTCATGTTTTTCATCAGCATAAATAGTCTTGCTCTGATGTACTGCTGAAAGATGGGGTTTCATTTTTTCCCCTTTTTGCATTATATTTCACACAACAATTGTTACCGCTCCCCTTTGTATTGGAGTTTGTGCAGATATTCACAGAAGGATGCTTCCTGTTGCTAACTTGAGCTTGTTTTCCCATTGTCCCCAGTGTAGGGACTCCAAGGGAATAGTGCGAACAAAGATAAAAGGGAACAACAAGTGGGGCTTTGTGCTGCTTTGTGTGGAGCTTAAATTATCTGTTTGGATTTTTACGCCAAATTTAATTATTTAATTTTGTTTGATTATAAAATGCTTTGAAGAAAGTTTTGACCCTTTTCTGTAGGGATGGAGAAAATATCGATACATTGAAATATCGCAATATTTTGTGTCACGATACTGAATTGATATTTAAAAGCAGTGTGTTTTGGTTGGCTGTTGTATCAGGAAGTACCAGTCTTAGGCATCCATGTTAACTCCCTCACTTCTTTTTCTCTTCTCTCACATACTTATTTCCTATCCTAGACTACTCCCTAGTGGTGGACTCGTCTCCACCATATTGTGATACACATCGTATTGTTTCACCCTTATTGTGATACATATCATATAGTCTCCCCCGTATTGTTATACATATCGTATCGTCTCCCCCGTATTGTGATACATATCGTATCGTCTCCCCCGTATTGTGATACATATTGTATCGTCTCCCCCGTATTGTGATACATATTGTATCCTCTCCACCATATTGTGATACATATCATATCGTCTCCCCTGTATTGTGATACATATAGTATCGTCTCCCCCGTATTGTGATACATATCATATAGTCTCCCCTGTATTGTGATACATATAGTATCGTCTCCACCATATTGTGATACATATCATAGTCTCCCCCGTATTGTGATACATATTGTATCATCCACCATATTGTGATACATATCATATCATCTCCCCCGTATTGTGATACATATCGTATCATCTCCCCCTTATTGTGATACATATTATATCGTCTCCCCATATTGTGATACTTATTGTATCATCTCCCCCGTATTGTAATACATATTATATCGTCTCCCCATATTGTGATACTTATCGTATCGTCTCCCCTGTATTGTGATACTTATCGTATCGTCTCCCCTGTATTGTGATACATATTGTATCGTCTCCCCCGTATTGTGATACATATCATATAGTCTCCCCTGTATTGTGATACATATAGTATCGTCTCCACCATATTGTGATACATATCATATAGTCTCCCCCGTATTGTGATACATATCGTATCATCTCCCCCTTATTGTGATACATATTATATCGTCTCCCCATATTGTGATACTTATTGTATCATCTCCCCCGTATTGTAATACAAATTATATCGTCTCCCCATATTGTGATACTTATCATATCGTCTCCCCT